CGAGCCAGTTCCCAGCAGGGGACTCACGAGAGGCAACCATACATTGATGTTTCTCTCCTTCTCTCCTTCCCTTCCTCTCTAAAGATTAAAAAAAAAAAAAGATGAGTACCTATGAAACAAAGGTTGGGCAGTTGTACTTGGAACCCTGTGAAAGAATTGGGGTTTCCTAGGCTTTATGTTCTCCAGTTGTGACACAAGCCTACTGTATGTGCAGCATCCACCTGGACCTCTTTACATGTACCTCTGGGGCTGGGGGAGCCATGGGAACAGATGTGAACACGAAGTTCTTGTTGTGCCATGAATAATAATAATGTGTTTGTCTCCGCCCCAGGAGTTTCATGTCTTACTCAGCATCTCTGAAACAGGCAGGCTACCTTGCTGGTTTGCAAAAGAGGTAAAACATTAACCGCTTTTCTGACAGGCTTGGCACAGAGGATGGATGGGGGGACTGAGCCCTGTATGAATAGCCTTTGTATGTCTCCTCATAGCAGAGGGAATTGGACTCGGTGAGACAGATGGGGCCCACGTCAGTCTGTTCAGGCTGCTGTAACACAATTCCACAGACAAGAGTGCCTGACAGCATGGATGTAACTGGAGAGCATTATGCTAAGTGAAATAAGCTGGGCACTGAAAGACAACACCATATGATCGCATCTTTAAGTGGAACCTAATCAACAAAACAAACAAGCAAAATATAACCAGAGACATTGAAATTAAGAACAATCTGCCCTGGCCGCTATGGCTCAGTGGATTCAGCTCCAGCCTGTGAACCAACCAAAGGGTCACTGGTTCAATTCCCAGTCAGGGCACATGCCTGGGTTACAGGCCAGGTTCCCAGTTGTGGGGAGCATGTGCAAGAGGCAAATACACATCGATGTTTCTCTCCCTCTCTTTCTCCCTCCCTTCCTGTCTAAAAGTAAATAAATGAAATCTTAAAAAAAAAAAAAAGAACAATCTGACAGTAATCAGTGGGGAGGTAAGGAGATAATGGGGGGAAAGGGGAGAAATTTTTCAGAAACAACTATAAAGGACATATAGACAAAACCAAGGTGGGGGTGCAATCAGGGGAGGGAGGTGGGGATGGCTGGGGTCAGGGGGCAGTGGGGGCGTAAAATGTAGACAACTGTACTTGAACAATAAAATAATTAAAAAAAAAAGAGTGCCTAATAAACAATTTCTATCTCCCAATTCTGGAAGCTTTAAGTCTGAGGTCAGGGTATAGCAGTTGGGTGAGCGATCTCGCCAGGGTGAAAAACTTGTCCGTGTACCTTTGCAAAGGAGAAGGGGTTAAGGGAGATCTCTCAGTCCTCTTTTTTCTTTTTCTTTTTAAAACCACTTAATTTTTTTTATCCTCACCCAAAGATATTTTTCATTGCTTTTAGAAAGAGAATAAGGGAGAGAAACATCGATGCAAGAGAGAAGCATTGACTGGTTGCCTCCCATATGCACTCAGAACGGGGATCCTATGCGTCTCAATTGGGGATTGAACCCGAAAACTTTGAGCTACAGGATGACACTCCAACCAAGCCACACAGGCCAGGGATCTCAATCAGGCCTGTTATTGAATGACATCAATCTCATCCATAATAACTGCACTCATGACCTAATCACCTCCCAAAGTTTCCACCTCCTAATACCATGACCTTTATGGTCAGATTACAATATGTGAATTTTGTGGGACCCACACAGATCGTAGCAGGGCGGCTTGGGAAAAGGTAACATTCTTTTGTTTCTGCATCAGAATAGGGATTATGTGTGACTTGCCTGTGCTTCCCCAGCCCCTTAGTGCCAGAGGAGATTATCCTAGTCAGTGAGGTCAGGTAGTGCAGACAAACTACCGTCAACTGTCACCAGAGTACAGCTTGAGTTTTTTAGATCAAGTGCCACTTCTGATACAGTTTTTAATTGTATGAATGATATTCTCTTTGTTGGCAGGTTGGAGGCCTGTCTCCACAACCCTAATGGGCTATCGCCTCTCTGCCAGTGAGTGAGGCTGATGTACCCTGACCATATGCAGAGTCCCAGCGACATCTACAGTTGATTGGGACCCTATGAGCAGATGTACTGAGCTCAGTCCTCCCAGCGGGGAAGACATGTCTGTTGTCGCTCTGGCTCCCCACCATCTACAGGAGACCAAGTCCTTACTTTTCTGGGAGATGGAAGGTGGCACATGTCTGTGAGTGATGATTTTGTCATTTGGAGCCTCTAGCAAAAGCAGCAGGTTCACCTTAGGGAAGAGGGCCCATTTGGTGAATGAACTCAGGGCCACCCTGACACAGCTAATAGGTACAGTTTATTTTATTTATTTTTCAGGAGAGGGGAAGAGGGAGAAAAAGAAGAGAAACATCAATGTGTGGTTGCCTCTCACATGGCCCCTACTGGGGACCTGGCCTGCAACTCAGGTATGTGCCCTGACTGGGAATTGAACCAGTCACCCTTTGGTTCACTGGCCAGCACTCAGACCACTGAGCCATACCTGACAGGGGTAACAGGTACACTTTTGAAGGCAGTAATTAGATTACTAATCGGGCATTTTCAAAACTGAAGTGTGACTTTTAGGAACATGTGAAACTCTGGCTTGATAAATAACATAAATTCAAACAAGGAAATCTAAAGATCATGGTAGCTTTATTTAATGATTCCTTAATCTAGCAACATTCCATCTAGCAAATAGAAAGGAGCTCCAAAGGGCTACAGACAAGGAAAGATTTTTAAAGGTGGAAAGAGAGGAATCAGAAAAAATTTTTTTAGCAAAATGCAGTTTTCAGCAAGAGGGAGGGATTGCCTTATAAGGGGAATGGAAGGTGACAAATTTTACCTCACTGGTGCTGCTCAGGTAATTCCAGGTGGAGTGGTCAAAGGTCAAATTCCAAGAGCTCTTGAAACTGCCATTAGATTAGGTATTAGGTCTTGTTTTGCTGATGTAGGGTTTCCTGCAAGTGACTCCACTTTGGACCTGCAGCCTCCTTTTTAACAGGCTTGATTTATAAATTTGGAATGACTCGATTTGGACTCCAGTACCCAGAGAGTAGGAGAGGTCCAAAAATTCCTGCATTTCCTGCCGAGCACACATTCAAGAATGAAGCTAGTCCGGCCCCAGCAACACCTCCGCTTTACAGGAACAAGTGGTTCCTGTCCTTTACATTGGAAATTTTAAGTGTCACACTGCAGCCAAAGCCACTAGCACTAGGAACCCCCATCCTCTGTGATTCCCCTAATTGCAGGGCCCTGGTTCACTGATGGTTTTAAGCTAAAACCTAATGGTGCCCCGTGGGCGCAGTGGCTGTTTTGTCTCAGTGCCAGCAGTGCAGAACTGAAATCAGATATGGAGGTTCCCTTCAGTGGTCAGCTCTCAGGTACCTGGACTGCTGCCAGTGGTCCAGACATTTAGTGCACCACTTGGAAAACTACAGATTAAGGACACCCTACTTTTGGGTTGTGAACTGTGGAAACTAATTGCAATGCTAAAACAATTGTCTAGGTTACTCATTTAGATGCGGGTGGTAAGGTCTGTTCTTGGAGAGTGACCACAATCAAGCTGCTGATTATGCCTGTTTCTGATGTGCAAGCTCCCTCTGTACCTTTTTTTGTTTTATTGTGATATAGTTGACAAGTCTAATTTTAAGATATAAACTGCACCCTTAGCTAAGAACCAGTCTCACTGAGCTGGTGGGTGGGGGGAAATCCTAATACGGAGGTCAAGGTGTGAATTATGCAAGTGCCCCACCCCCACCCCATTAATGGGTTTCCTAAACAGATTGGGTAGGGGTTCTTTGAAAAAGATGGCTTGGATTATTCAGACCTATCCAGGAATCCTACTCAGGTGACATAATTAAGGGGGAAGGAGCATTTCAGGCCTCCCCATCCCTCAACTCCCTCAGTTAGAGTGTTCTTAAGATTGCAGGTGCGAGGGACTGCGTTGGGTGAAGTAGGAACAGAGTAAAGTCTGCCTGTCCCAGCTCCCGACTCCAAGACACGATCACAGCCGCAGCCCCAGGGATGGCACTTTTGAGACAAAGACAGAGAGAAGGAAGAGGGATTATTTGGCTCTGGGGGCTTGAGGGCCAAGCCTGAAATGAGGGAGAGGGTAGACACCGAATGTAAAGATCTGAAAATTGAGCAGGAAAAGCTCTCCAAGTAGGAGGTACGGTTTGTGCATGAAAAAGCGATTCGCTTGCAGCTCAGAGGGCCGTAATTCTCCGGAGAGCTCAAGTGGGCGGTATGGGGTATGCCCAGAGAGGATTCAGAAATTAGAGGCACAAGGGTGTTGAAGACCAGCCCGAGGGGCTTGTCCTTTTTTGTTTTTTAATTCTCACCCAAGGACATTTTTTCACTGTTTTTTAGAGAGAGGTAAAGGAAGGGAGAGAAACACGCTGGGTCGGGGATCGAATACGCCATGTTTCGGTTACCAGAAAACGCTCCAGCAACTGGGACACATCAACCAGGGTCCACAAGGGGCTTGATTTTTAATCCAAACATTAAAGCAAATCACCACCCTCCTCTGGGCCTAAACATAATAGGGCGTACTAAATTAAAAACCCAGTCTTCCTTTCTGGCACAAAGGCGCGGGAAGACCGCCCCTCAACCGACAGAGCAGTGGCCTCACAAGCCAGAACCCGCAGAAAGTTTGGGCTGACCCCGACGACGTCATGTATTTCTAAGACGCATGCGCAGAATTTTTATCCAGGATCCGCAGAATGGCGGGCTTCGACGCCAATCAAACCTGCTTTTCACTGGCTGGAAACAACTGCTCATCTCGGCCGTTGCTAGTAGCGACGTAGGCGGGTACAGTGTGGGTCGCTGAGATACAACGTACTTCCATTTCCTACCCACCCCCTCTTGGCCGCGGCAGGCTTTACTGCCTTTCTCCGACCAATAGCAAATGGGCTAGTGGGCGGGACCTTATTAGTCCGGACCAAAGAAATGCGGGCTCGTCCCACTAAGAGCGGCCAATAACCGAGGGGCAGCCCCTGTAAAGTGGCTCGGGTGTCCCCACGATCGTCTTTCCTCCTCCTCCTTCTCCTCCTCCGGGCTGTGCCCCTCCCCATTCCGAAATCAGTACGGCTTGGGCTGCAGTCTGACCGGAACGGGGACGGAGCCAAGATGGCGGCGGCCGACGGCGACGACTCCCTCTACCCCATCGCGGTGCTTATAGACGAGCTCCGCAACGAGGATGTTCAGGTCCGGAGGCCACGGGGATCTTTGGGAAGGAGGGAAAGGGGACCAGGGAGCGCTGGCGGCTCTCGCGGTAAAGGCTAGGTGTTCGCTGGGAGTGGCGGAAGGGGGTGGCGGCCAATCAGCGTCCAGCTCTCCTCGCTCCGGATACCTCGACTCGAGGAGACGGCGCCCAGGATTGGGTGTCGGCCCAGCGGAGGGCGGGAGCGAGGGCGAACCTCGAGGGTCCCAGGCCTGCTAAGTGCGCGCGGCGGTTCAGGGCCTGGAAGGCCGCAGAAGGGTGGGAAGTCGGCCGCCAGGGTTCGAAAGAGGGGAGGGCTCGGCGATTGGCAGCGGCCTCTGAATGGGCCCTTGGGGTTGGATCCGAGTGGGGGAGGGGCCGCCTGATTGGTCGAACCCCTGTGCGTTTTTGTCTTTTTCTGGGTTTCGGATACTGGGCCTCAGCGCCGCGGGGTCAATTCCCCAAATGGGAAATGAGAGGTGAAAGCTGCCTTCCCAATACCTGCCCTACCTTCCGGTTCGGTTTGCGGTTGGGGGTCAAAGACGCTCCACCTTGTAGGGCGGGCGATCTTGCTAAATTTAGGAAAGAGTTGGGAGGTGGAGCCCCGCCCAGCTTCAGGGACCCTCCCATTGTCCCGGTTGCGGGAGCTTGACTAAAGGGGCTGACACATTCTGATGAGTGGGATAGACAAAGGTCAGGTCCTAGAGCCTGGCTGGCGTGGGATTGAGAAGAGTTAGGACTCCACGGTTTGTCCAGCTAGGTTCACCTGCCACCCGCCGCGTATCTTGGACGGATTACTTAAATGCTCTGGACCCCTGCTTTCCACGAAATGTAGGCTAATAGTAATAGTCGCGGCCTCTTCGGGGAGTGGTGAGGGACTGAACGAGTTAATAATGCAAGTGTCCATAGAACGGTGTGTGGCCTCTTATAAGAGCCCAATGAATGTTAGCTCTAATTATCGGGAGTGGTAGCTAAAGAGGTCCCATTCGCCCTTTGGGCCTCCATTTCCCTATTTATAAAAGAAAGCTGGTCGCCCTGAGCCCAGCCACTGAGGTTCTGGTTGAGTACATTGCTGGTTCTGGAGTGACACAGGCTGTGGCTGTATGGCCGGCTCTTCCACTTGCTGATTTACACGGGCAGGTTAGTTCAGCTCCCTGAGCCTTCAGTGGCTTAGGGAGCTTTCCTCTTCTCTCCAGTAGAGGTAATTATCTAGTTCATAGGGCTGCTGTATGAACTCATTTGTTCACTGAATACCTGCTACTTGTCAGGTACAGTGTTGATATAGTGCTGACATAGATTGTTATATAAGAGACAGATGTGAAACAGAGCTGAATACTCGAGTAGCTTGAGTGAGTTGTCATGGGAAGGAAACAGCAGGATGTTGTAATGGTAACCCAGTAAATATTTGTGGGGGCCTGTACTTTGTGGGGGGCGCAGATACACAGCAGAGAACCAGACAAAAACCTCTGATGAGCTTACCTTGTAGTGAGGGGAAACAGATGATAAGCAAGACAGTCAATAAAATGTGTTGTCTCTTAGATGGGGATAGTGCTAAGAAAAAATGAAGAGGGGTGGGGAGTGAAGTTTTCAAGAGTGTTCAAGGAAGGCCTTGTTGAGAAAGTGATGTTGGAACAAAGACTTGAAGGAGGCAGGGAAGGAGTCAGGAGGCTGTCTGGGCAGAGTGCACAGGAGGCACGAGGTGGGCCAGTCAGGGAAGGGACCTCTGAGGATGCAGAGTTAAAATGGGATCAGAAGGACCTAGCCCCTGGAAGAAGCTGCGGAAGTGCCTTCCAGGAAGAAAGAACACGCAGGTGATGGCGGTTTTGCCCACTAGGAGACATTTTTATTTGATAATGTCTGGAGACATTGTGGGTTGTCACAACTGAGGTGTTAACTGGTATCTAGTGCATAAAGGTCAGGAGAGCTGGAGAATTTCCTGCAATTCTCAGGACAGGCCCCACGGCAATGAATTATCTGCCCAAAATGTCCACAGTGATGAGATGGAGAGTCACAAATCTGCCAGGGATCTCACTGGGCTAAAATCAAGGTGTTGGCAGGACTGCTTCCCTCATGGAGTCTCCAGGGGAGAATCTGTCTTCTTGCCTTTTCCAGCTTCCAGAGGCTGCCTGTATTCCTTGGCTTTTGCCCCCCTGCTCCATTCCCAAAGGAAAATCTAGTACTGGAGGTAATGCACAGGAGGCAGTGCCATGGGAGAAAGTAGACCAGGGTCTGGCCATGCTATGAGTTACTCAGCCCTTCTGGGCCTTGATTTTCTTGTGAAGTGGAAGAAAAGGTAGAAGACACACTTGGCCAGGGTACTGTCTAAGACCCTGTGGCAGCATGCCTGTGGTGTCCACATCTTAGAAATAGGACATGACAGGCTCTGACCCCTTTTTATACAGTACCCGGGGATTTGGTGAAGAAGAACTTAGAAATAAGGTTGCCATCTAAGAGTATAAACCAAAAAAGAAGTTGGTTGGATGGTGGTGAGGAACATAGGTTCAAGTTCCAGGCCCCGTCATGAATTCACTGGGCGACCTGCATTTCCCTATCAGTTTCCTTGTCTAAAATAAACACGAATGTGGTATCTGCCTCATGGGTTTGTTGCAAGAATTACAAGAGCCCTGGCTGTTGTGGCTCCGTGGATTGAATGCTGGCCTGCCAACCCAAGGGTCACCAGTTCGATTCCCAGTTAAGGCACATGCCTGGGTTGTGGGCTGGATCCTCAGTTGGGGGTGTGTAAGAGGCAGCCAATCAGCGTATCTTTCATATATCAATGAATCTCATATATAAAATATTTTTTTAAAAAAGGAATCACAAGAGAGAACGTATGTAAAGTCCTGAGCTTTATACATAGTAAGTACTCTTTAAATGGGATGATTTCTTACTGATATTAATAGCCGTTCTATCAGAAATGTTATAGAGAACCCAATGAGTAGTTGTTTAAACAAGTAAAGGGTTCATTTTCCCTTTATTACTAACAAGAATATTATAGAATTTGGGTCAGAATTTGTGCCCTTTTCACCTGCTTCCTACGGTCACAAACTTGCTGTCGCATCAGCTCTCAATAAGTCTTTGCTAAAAGCAGGGGCTGTTCCAAGACAGAGGTGTTTCTTGTCCTTTTGCCAAGGAGGAAAATCTTCCCCGGGAGCTCTTCAGCTGACTTGCTCTTATGTCTCTGTCCAGAACTAGATCATGTGTTTGTTAGTCGGGATTAAGTTTAGCTGTAAGTAATAGGAAAACTCTAAATAAAATAAATGAGCTTGAAGTTTATTTCTGACTCGTGATCAGAAAAGCTGGTGGCAGTACAAGCTGATGTGGCACTGTGTGGTGCTAGCGCCCCAGGCTTGCCTGTTGTCCATCCACCCTCCTTATCCCCCAGGTTACCTCTGGGTCCCATGATGGCCGCTAAAGCCCCAGCCATCATAGCCCCATTCCAGACAGGAGAGGAAAAAGCTATGACCTGACCTGACCAGCTCTCCCCCATAAGGACACTCCCTAGAAGTCACACAACAGCATTCCCGTTTGGATTTCATTGACCACACATTAAACTCATAGTAAAATCCAGATGCAAAAGTGATTAGGAAATTTCCTGTGTTGGTGGGTGGGGGTCGTGTGCACAGCTGAAAACCAAGGGGTAAGGAGCAACAGTATAGCCAATGCAGCTCTTCATTTGAGGTCCAATCTGTATTTTTAGGGCAGGTCCATGAATTTGGATGAGAAGAATAACATCTTTATTTTCTCTAACCTTTAAATCAAATTTAACTTCCCCTTCTATTATGAACTCTAGTATCAGAAGAGCGTATTGTAAGTACTCTTAGTAAAACCTATGACTGTCACCAATAGAAAATCATGACTGTTCCTTTTTCATTTTGGCCATTGTAGATCTAGTGTTGTTGATGCTTTCTCTGTTTCAAAATTGTGGTCACTATTAGGTCTGGTAAAGAGGTGCATGGCCCCCCTTTCCCCTACCCCCAATAAACAAACAAATACAGGTTGGTGGTGGTTACAGGTTAAGAGCTAGCTGGCTGGGGTTCAGATCCCACTTCTGCCACCTACAAGTGCATGAGGTTTCTTCACCTCCCTTAGCCTTTCCTTTCTCTGCTGTGAGGTGATCCTATATTTACCTTATGAGATTGGTGTAAGGATCAAATGAGTTAAAAAATGCCTGGAACTGCCTGGCACATAGTAATAGTAAGTACCATGGATATATTTGCTCTCTTTATTTTTTCACTGCGGGAGGGCGGAAAGAGACCTTGGTGGACAGTTAACCAACTGTAACTCGTGCCTCTTTTGGTACCCAAACAACACCAGGACCCTGTCAACAGGGTGAGGTGGTCGTACTGCCATTATTGATCTACCTCTGATGCTAGGGTGTTCCCAGTATTATGTCACTTGGTAGTCCCTGTAACCTTCTGAGGGTAGATATTATAATCCAATTTCACAGATAAGAAAATTGAAGCTTGGAAAGGTGCATAATGTGGCGCCAGATCCCACAGCTAATATGTAAAGCAGCTTCTTAGCTTTGAACACAGGCGGTGCAGCTCCAAAGCACCAGCCCGTGCTGCCTTTCATAAACCTTTATAGTGCTGTCTACTAAAGAAACCAGCAGATACTTAAAAAATATATTTTATTTATTTATTTTTAGGCAGATGGGAAGGGAAGGAGAAAGAGAGGGAGAGAAACATCAGTGTGTGGTTGCCTTTTGCATACCCCCTACTGGGGATCTGGCCTGCAACCCAGGCATGTGCCTTGACTGGGAATTGAACCGGTGACCCTTTGGTTCACAGGCCCATGCTCAGTCCACACCAGCCAGGGCCCAGCATATACTCTTAACAATACCAACCCAGAATCTCCAAGGATGCCAGTGGAAGGATAGAGGCTCTCCACCAGGGCAGAGATGACCTGATTCTCATGGGTCCACCTCTTCGGCATCTTCCCCGAGTGACAGCATGATGTTCAGATTAAGGGTCAGGGTACGTGGCTTCTGCTCCTGGCTCCTGCTCCTGGCTCTGCTGCATTCCAGCAAGTGGCAGCTTCTATGCGCCTCATCATCCTTGCCTGTAAAGGAAGGATTCCAGTGACAATATCTACCTCAGAGCCTAGAAGTATGTTCATTATGCATGTTGATCCCTTGAATGTTGCCAAGTACATGGTAAGCATCCACTAAACATTAGCCGCTATTGTTCCTGGCATCATCAAGATAATATTCTCTGCTAGGCCCTGGCTGGTGTAGCTCTGTGGATTGAGCACGGGCCTGCGAACCAGAGTATCATGGTTCGATTCCCAGTCAGGGCTCATGCCTGGGTTGCAGGCCAGTTCCCAGCAGGGGACGCATGAGAGGCAACCATACACTGATGTTTCTTTCCCACTCTTTCTCCTTCCCTTCCCCTCTCTCGAAAAGTAAATTAAAAAAAATATTCTCTGCTGCATCTCACTGTCCTCAGGGCTGCTGCTTGCCTGTTACGGCTCTTGCCCAGATGTACATTTCCCCATAGCACACCTGTCAGAAGGAGCCAGAGACCTAGCTTGAAGGTGACAAAGAGGAAAGAGATAGGCAACTAAGTCACTGCTTCCCCTAAAGTTTTATTATAGAAGACTTCAGACATATAAAGCATTGAAGGACTAGTACCGGGCCTGGCACAGAGAAAGAGCTCTGTGGTATGACTGCCGCTGTCAGAGTGGATGTGTAGTGTGACCCACGGTGCAAGAGGGGGCGAGAGCGTGGGTAGGGAGTTGGGGAAAGGTGAGTGTGCTTTTCCACAGAGTGATCTTGGAGAGCGCCACTGCAGGGATGTCAGCCCAGTAAGACCCAAAAGATGCTTTGCTCAAGCTGTGGCCCCCATGGCAACTTAATGACTCAAAGTCACAGTGGCTTGGTTGGTGTTCACCTAGTTATTTGGTATCTTCACACATACTTAGTTCTGGGTGCTGTCAGACTCCCTTGAGTCTTGGCTTGCTCACATTTCCCCCTCCTTTTCTTGTTCTCATTAGCTTCGCCTCAATAGTATCAAGAAGCTGTCCACCATCGCCTTGGCCCTCGGCGTGGAAAGGACCCGCAGTGAGCTTCTGCCCTTCCTTACAGGTAATGAGGTGCAGTCCTGGGGCCCGGGTGGAGTGGGGACTATCAAGGTGGTGCCTGCTGGATAAGGAGCTTCACCGTGGATTTAACAGATTGTTTGTAAGTGTCCGTCCTGTGCTGGGCATCGTGGGTGGGCAGGGACTCGAGAGAAGTGTAGTCCTCTGTGGAAATGATCTGGGAAGTTAGGAGCAGGGATTGGGGACAGGAGCCCGGAGGCAGGTGAAGGCAGGTATGAACTGCACTCCAGCCATTAGAAGCTGGTGGCTTCACTCTCTGTATAGTCTTATGTGTAAAATGAGGGTGAACATGTATAATAATAATCTCCAATACTTTACTGTGTGCCCGGCACTGTGCTAAATCCTTTCTTGTGAGGAGCGAGTTTATTGCCTGTTGCTCAGACCTGGTGCCTGTGCTCAGTCAGTCACCATCATTATCCAAGTTAATCCCACAGCAATTCCTAAGGTAGGTAAGACAGCCCCCATTTTTTGGATGAGGAAGCAGGCAAGAAAACATGAAATAGTTTATTTCCTCAAGTCATACAGTTTGGAAGTGACTCAGGATATTATCTAGTCATGCTGGCTCCAAACTCACAGCTTTGGTTAATGTCTTCGGGTCCCTACTACCTTGGTTCAAATCCAAGCTCTACTACTTCCTAGCTATGTGACTTCAGACGAGGTATTTCATATCTGCCTGCTTCCAGTTCTTCATGTGTGAAGTGGGCATAATTGTATAACTTGACAGGAAGACTAAGATAACATGTAAAGTGCTATAACGGTGCCCAGCATGTGGTAAGTGCTGCTGAACTGTAAACAGGTAGCCTGTTCTAAGCACTCCTGTCTGGGAAGGTTGAGCCGCAGCACTTAGGGCAATGTCTGACACCAATTCCTAGTAAATTCTCTCTCCCCATTATTCTCATTACAACTTTATACGAATTAAAATTGCAACAAAAGCCTCAGAGTCACACAGAGCCTTGACACTGATGAGCTTTCTCACATCCGATCCTCTCTCGGGCCTCGTGACAGTCCTGGGGAAGGAGGGGGTGGAGCTTCTTGCCCCTTCCTCATTTGATCCGTGAGAAAGTGAGGTGTGAAGAGGTACAGGGACTTGCCCACAGTGACACAGCTATGACTCAGGAGCAGAGGTGTATCTGCCTCCGAGTGCCATGTGAGGAGTTGGCATCTGCACATGTGACACTGAGCAGATGGCCCCATCTGATGGCCCCAGCAGATGGCTTTCAAATGCTAAGACAGGGATAACTTCTAAGGCAGCAAGGGACAAGGGGCATGACGCAAAGTGTAAAAAAATAGTTAAAAAGTTGTAGAGAAAGAAAAAGTTGGAGGAACCTGGGATTGACACCCCGTGGTGCCACCAACCTCCAGCCTGCTTGGCAAACCTGGGTGAGCCACTCCACCTGTCTGCCTCAGGTCCCTCATCTGTAAGTGTCAGACCTAAGCTAAAGGGTCGGTGGAAGGATAAAGTGCTTCACACGGAGCCTGGTCCGGAGAAAACACTCATTGCCGTGCTGGTGGCAAGTTCTGTAGTGAGGTGGTAGGGAGGCATCCTGGGCAGGAAAATCGGTGGGAAGAAACTACAAATGGAGGGGGGCTGGAACCTGGCGATTCACCAGGGAGAGGCGCAGGGGCAAGGGGGTTGATGGTGGGTTGAATTTCGCACGCCTTGGATTACCAGGTGGCAGTTTGGGTTTAATCCGGTAGATGAAGGCAGGGCAGCCATTGTAGATAGATGGTAGAGGTTGGGAGCATGAGATGTAGAAAAATAAACCTATGGGCAAGGCAGTATTGTTTTGAGGGTGGGATGGGAGAAAGAAGGTCAGATTCAAGATGTCACCTTGGGAGACAGCAGCTAAGAGCAGAGACCTCAGGGCTAGACTGCCAGGTTCTCTCAGCCTCAGCGGGCTTCGTTGCCTCACCTTTAAACGGGAAATACTCATGTGATACAAATTGGGGCCATTGTGAAGGTTTAGGGAGTGTAATGTTGTATGTGTTATCTTTATCATATTGTCGAATCCCATAGAATATTAATGCAAGTGAAGGGACTGTGAGGGACAGAGTAGTATGGGAACCATAAGCTTGAAGAGGAGCCCCTCATGTAGGAGAAAGTTTTCTTAGGGCTGCTGTAATCCCAGGTGATACCAGATTTTCTGTACTTTGAGCTTTAAGAAATCATAAGGTGTTGAAAATAGTAAGTGGCAGATATATTCTGTCTTTCAGAAAAGCTGATATTGTTTCAAACAGAACAAGCTAAAAGCCTTCTTTGAGCTTCCGCCTACAGAAGGTTCAGAATCAGCATTATGAGGGGAAGTTACCACATAATGTCCTCACTGTGTTAAAGAGACCAGTGCTGTGGTAATTTTTGGCCATAATTTGTGAAACATTGGTGAGCTCCAAGGTGAGTTAAGTCACTTGTGTGTCTGTCATCAGGCTACATAGTAACCTGCTGTTTAAAGACTTGGACTCAGGTAGACATTAATGAAAAGTATGCTCAGAAATCTGAGGTTTGCCCTGAACACACCTTGTGGCTTTGTGGCAAAGACCTTTGAGTGTAGGTTCCCTGAGACAGAGGGAAGTAGCTTGATATCTGCCTTTAGACCCTGACATTGCCACATCAGAAAAGAGGAGTAGCCCCATAAGATGGGGGCAATGGCCATGACATCATAAGAGGGCTGTGGTAAGGAGGTAACCCAGAGCTCAAACCTGCCACTTCCACTCCCACCCCGTTGGCCAGAGCATAGTCATGTGGCCATGCTAGCTGTAGGGGAGCCTGGGAAATGTAGTCTGGCTGGATTGCCATAGGTCTGACTTTCAACTCAGGAAGTTTTGATGCTAGGGGATGTTAGCATCTTCTGCTGTGGAGGTTAGCAGTTCCACCACCTCAGGGAAGAATGGATGGAGCTGGAGGGAAAGGTCTTCAGCATCAGGAGAGAGCCTTCTTCCCTCAGTCATGTAGTTATTTCAGCAAACCCGATTGGGCTCCCACTGTGCTGATCCCTGGCAGGAACTGGGACACAGAGAAGAGCCAGTCTGGACTCCTGTGACAAGGGACTCTGATAAAGGCGGCACGAGTTGGGGGAGCCCAGAGAAGGGACCAGTCTGATTTGGTCAGGAACTCTTGGCAAAAAGCGGTAGCTGAACTAAGTCTCGAAGGATGGAGAAGAAATTCCGAGGCCAAAGGGAAAGAGGTTCCTGCAGAGAGACTGTGTTGAGGATGAAAGCTGGACTGAGCCAAAAGCTCCTGTTCACTGGCTCTGCTCTCACTCTGGACCATTTGCTCCTTTCTGACCCTCGACGAGAGGTGGAGGCGAGGAGTACCATTCTACGGGTGTAGAACAGACTCAGAGGTGGTCTTACTCATCCTGCATCCTGTACCTTGTCGGGGGCAGAAGTGGTACTTGGGCGCTCTGTCATCGACCCAGGCCTGTGCCTTGATCTCTGCCAGTCCTGGGGTGTGGGGGTTGTGAGTGCTCATAGTTTGAGGAAGCAGAGTGAGGCTGCCTGTTCCAGCTTAGGTCACTGAGGGGCTGGGGTTAGACTTCAGGTGTGACTGGAACAGAGTCTGTCTTGGTCCCACAGACACCATCTATGACGAAGATGAGGTCCTCTTGGCCCTGGCGGAGCAGCTGGGAACCTTCACCACCCTGGTGGGAGGCCCCGAGTACGTGCACTGCCTGCTGGTGAGTCTGGAAGGTGGGGAAGTACCCTTGCCCTCCCCTTGGGAGTCAAGGAGGGGACAGTGTCTGAGGGACCGGGGGGTCATCTCAGAACAGATGGGACATTCACTTTAATCCAACAAGTCAGGGCTTCGTGTGAGAGTCAGGCTGGCTTCTCCCACTGGTTTACTATGTGACTTGTAAAAATTACTTTGCCCCTCTGTTCTTTTGCTCATCTCTAAGTGGAACTCATTAACACCTGTCTTTATAATTGACTTAAGAAGCCCTTAATAAATAAAACCTTTAAAAAAAAGAAAAAGCAGAAGCAGCCCTTAGGCACCCAGTAACTCCTAAAGTAACTCCTAGCAAGTGTTAGCTGCTTTTGTCATGAATGCCTGTGTCATGTGGTTGTGTCCACCGTCGGGGTAGGGAGGGTTCCTTTTTTATAGATGAACCACCGGAGCACCAGAGGTTGAGCATTTTGTCCAAGGTCGCATGGCTAGTAAGTGGCAGAGCTGGGATTCCGGGTATGTCTGTTGGACTCTCCCTCAGGCCCCCTCCCACTGCCTGCCTGTCTTGCCCTGTACTTGTGGTGGCCAGGGACACAGACATGGATCGGATGCTAACAGTAACTGCTGTCTAGGAGAGGAGGAGGGGGGACTCCAGTCCTGTGATCTGGGAGGAAATTGCCTTAGAGCTGGCCCAGACCATGGTTTTCTCTGTTTCTTGAACCCCCAGTCATTCTGTATTTCATGGTTTTTTTTCTTTTTAAGATTTTATTTATTTATCTTTAGATGGGAAGGGAAGGAGAGAGGGAGAGGAATTTCAATGTATGGTTGCCTCTCGTGCGTCCCCTGCTGGGAACTGGCCTGCAGCCCACGCATGTGCCCTGCCTGGGAATCGAACCTCGATCCTCTGGTTCACAGGCCCGCACTCAATCCACTGAGCTACATTAGCCAGGGCTGTATTTCATGGTTTCTAAAGATACATTTCAGACTTTGGTCGCTGCACTTGATGGTGTTCCGCAGTTACATCAGCAGCCATTGTTCCTTTTAGTGGTATGTAAAACATCTTTGATTTCATCAAGTGTGGTGATTTCTTTTGTCCCAAACAGCATTAACTCTAAGGGAATTTGATAATTGCCATTCATTGATGGTATCTGAGCGTTCACCTGTGTGTACATGTATAATATGTTTGTACGTACACAGGAAATTATATGTGAATGAGTTCGTTTACATTTCTCATAGAACAGGGCTGTGTAACAAGAGGAACGGGAGGTCCAGGGCCTGGCTGAAAGGAGCCCTTGAACTCCATGGAACTCTCTGCAGCCACTGGCCTTTGTCATCTCTTCTGAGAATGCATAGTTTTCAGTAGCTTCTCAGAGGACTTGAGCAGAAAATGCTGCTAAGAACTCCAGGGCTCCTAGGTAGGGTAGGACTCAGGCTCTGTGGGAGTCAGCACTGGCACCCAGGGGTCCTTCTCCAGTCAGGGCAGAGTCTTCCCATGGGCATTCTCAGTGAGGTGAACCCCAGTCTTTCCATACTTCTTTCTGGGGAGCAGTCATGTGCAACCTCTGGTACTGGCCAGTGCAGACATCCTGAGGCTCTCTGGGCCCGGCAGTGCTGGGAACCTAGATGGGAGTTGGGTCCGAGTGGCTGACACTCACTCAGTGCTCAGTGTGTCGTATGTGTCAAGTACTTGAGGCGCAGTAACCCATCACATCCCACAGTGACCCTGTGAGAAACGCCCCAGTTCATAGATGAGAAGCTGAGGCACTGTTGGTTTAAGTGAATTACCTGAGCTGGAAAGAGGCAGTCAGGATTTGGACCAGGTTGCTGCCTCTTAATCATTACCTCTCCTCTGTGTCATCCTCAGAGGGCTCCTGAATGCTTCGGAGGCTGCTCAGAGCTGGGAAAGAGAGAAACGGGGGCCTTTACTTAGAACCCAGAGGAGGCACCTAACCCAGTTTAGATGAGATGGGGGGCAGGGTCATGGAAGGCCTCCTGGAGGAGGAGGCTGTTAACCTGGATTTTGACAAGTTACGAGAAATGGAGAACAGCTATTATGCAGTTTGTTTATCCCACACGTATGAGCAAGGACTGTGAGCTGTGGGAACCCAGAAGGGCGCCTGACCCAACCTAGCCTTCCGTCTTGCTGGTAGTAAAATGGAACTAATTTCCCAGGTACTTGTGCAGCTGCAGCACCAGGATTGTTCCTGTATCCACAGCTCCTGACCTTTTTGGAATGGTGGATCCCTTTTAGAGTCTGGAGCCTCTCTTCTTGAGACAACAGATGATTTTAGGATTTTTGCCTCTCCCTCTCCCACCTGGCTTAGTCTCAGTTTGAGAACCCCACCCTCTATTACTCACACACAGGCCCCCATCACGGTGGGTCTTCACTTGACGTTTCCTGGCTGTGCACCTTCCTGGGCCCCACCCTAGACTCCGACTCTTGAGGTGTGTGCTGAGGGTGCCTCCTGGGTGACCCTGGTGTGGGCCATCCCGGCACTGCACTGCAAGAACCTGTCCCAGCGGTACCCTCTGGTGCACAGACCCATAACTAACTGCTGCTCAGCCTTGGTCCCCAGGCCTTTCTGACCATGATAGGTTACTATAAGTTCCAATTCCCGTCACTCACTAAACGCTGACTGCCAGTCCCTGCAGTAGCCCAGGGATATCACCCTCCCACCCGCACCCCTGTGAACTGTTCCTGAACCCCCAACCCTGGGAGAGTTAGCAGGACCTATGACAAAAGGCCTTACCCTGGGGGGGGGCCTCGGGTCAGTGCAGTGTTACATTTTCCTCTTGAATCATTGCCAACCTTTTATAAATGAGATTTTTAAAAACTTCTTTATTTGATTTGTTTTTAAAATGTTTTATTGTAGTAAAATATACATGTATTTTTACTGTTTTCCTTATAAGTGTACAGTGCTATGTACATTCACACGGTGGAGCGGCCACCCCCACCATCCGTCTCTGCATCTTGCCTTCCCGAAGTGAAACTATGCTTGTTGACCAGTAACGCCCGCCCCCTGCCCTCTGAAACCACCATGCTACCTTCTGCATCTTGGAAATCCTGACCGGCTGATTTCATTTAGCATGGTGTCTTCAAGGTCCATCCATGATGTACCATGGGTTAAAAGAGATTTTTTTTGTACTTAAACCTGGCCCTTTGGCCATTCTTGGAAAACCAGGTTGGCTTTTACCAGCTGTGTCATCCGTGCGTGTCTCCCCCCCCCCCCCCCGGGCTCCCTCAGTGATGGTTGATGAGCTGGGAAGCAGCTGTCCTGTCCAGGCTGCATGCCACGGGCTCTGCCTCTCTCTGTTGTCCCCGCCTGTCACCTTTGCGCAGTGCTTCATTCTGTTACCTACCTGGGCTCTGGCAGCATTTTCCTTTGATTTCTTCCTGCCTTCTTTTCTTGTATCTGTCAGGCCACACTGGACTTCAGACCTCCACACCTTTATCTGAACAACATAGACTGATAGAGTCCCCCTTCCTTAGGTCAGTGCTGGGTTCCTGCCCTGTGGTAGGAGTTCTGCTGGGCTCTGGGGACACAGATGAGCTAATCAAGTGTCCCTCCAAGGCCTCACACTAACAAACCATTGAGTAGTCCCAAGCCCTGGGGTCCCCTGCTAATGTGAGCTCCTGATGCAGTCGCCTGTCAGAAACCACAGCTGTGCTTTTCAGCCCTTGGAGGCCCTGGAGTCCGGTGGCCTGGTTTACAGCCTGGTGTGTGAAGCTAGTGATAGTTGTGGTCCTCTCCTCAGAAAGTGACATGAGTCGCCCTGGCTGGTGTGGCTTAGTGGATTGAGTGCTGACCTCTGAACCAAAAGGTCACCGGTTCAATTCCTGATTGGGGCACTTACCTGGGTTGCGGACCAGGTTCCTTGTTGGGGGTTTGTGAGAGGCAACCCATCATTGTATCTCTTGCACATTGATGTTTCTCTCCCTCTCTTCCCATTCTCTCTAAAAATAAACAAAATCTAAAAAAGCAGGGGGGAGTTACCTTGATATTCCAAAGATACTTTTTTAAAGAAAAAGTGACATTACCATTTTGAGGTTCCTAGACCCACCACACTAAAGCTGCCTTAAGGACCTCTAAACAAGGCTTGTTGTGGTTCTTCAGAGAAGACATGCTGGATGGGGTGATCACAGAAGGTTTCTGGAGAAAATGAACCCATGGAGGGTCAGGGCTCCAGGGCCGGGGGTGCTGGGGAGGGAGCCATCCTGTGACCTCATGCTCTGTGCTGTAGCCACCCCTGGAGTCGCTGGCCACGGTGGAGGAGACAGTGGTGCGGGACAAAGCTGTGGAGTCCTTGCGGGCCATCTCACATGAGCATTCGCCTTCTGACCTGGAGGCCCACTTCGTGCCACTGGTGAAGCGGCTGGCGGGCGGCGACTGGTTCACCTCCCGCACCTCGGCCTGCGGCCTCTTCTCTGTCTGCTACCCCCGAGTATCCAGTGCCGTGAAGGCAGAACTTCGGCAGTGAGTCCTGCCCCTCAGCCTGGTCCTCTTCTCTCAAGCCCTAGCCTATTTAGGCCTCCCCAGGTCCCAAACACTCCTGAGCTCTCTCAGCCCCCAGCTCCCTTCCCACTCTTCAGAGAGTCACCGAAGGCCTGGTGTCACCAAAGTGTCACCAAAGGCCTGGTCTCCAATCCAGACACTGCCCCTTGCTCATTTATGAAGTGGAAATGACAGTTCCTTCTGAACCATTGGTTCTTATGAGGATTTAAAAGAATTACTGCAGGTGAAGTGCTTAGAACAGAATGTGGCACATAAAAGTACGTAACGGGTGATGTGTGGTGCTGTCTTAGGCCCGCCCCAGGTGCAGATGCACTATCTCTTGGTTCAGCCTCCTCCATGCTCCTCCCCCTGGGCCTGATACTCAGGGAATTCCTTATATGCCAAACTTGCCTTCCTGAAGAATGAATGAAAATGGTTTTAATTTTTAATGGAAATTTCCATTAATGTGTTTTGTCTCCTCCCTCTGGACTTGTGTGTACCCACCAAGCCCACAGACTTTTGAGTAGCAAGCCTAGGCCCTGAACCCTTACTCACCCAGAGTACAGGTGGACAGCTGCCCACACGTGCTTAGAGATCTGCTTTCAGCCTACCGTGACCCGTTGGAGAGGTCACTGCTGCAAAGTAAACCTTTGAGTTGCCCCAGTTGACCATCTCAGCTTCACAGTTTGATGTGGTCATTATAATGTAATCAGCACCCACCGTTCTCTACAGACTCATGTGCAGACAGGCCGCTGTGTGCTCACACACGTGAATTCACTTAAGCCTCACGATGACCCCGTGGAATAGGTACTGTCCCTATTGGCTCATTATATAGGGCAGGGAAGATGCAGAGAGCAAAAGTCAGGACCTTTGTGACTACAGTCTGCTTGTTCCTCTTTGCCATATTGCCCGCTGCCTTGAGGTCCCAGGATTCCTCCTCCTAAGCCCCATCCTGACTCCCAGGTACTTCCGGAACCTGTGCTCAGATGATACCCCCATGGTGCGGCGGGCCGCAGCCTCCAAGCTGGGGGAGTTCGCCAAGGTGCTGGAGCTGGACAATGTCAAGAGTGAGATCATCCCCATGTTCTCCAACCTGGCCTCTGACGAGCAGGTGGGTTTTGCTCTCCGGCCCTCCCCAACCCCTCCCTCTGGCAGGCCCTGCATCCGAAAGGGAATCCCAGTGGTAACGGGGCCTCTGTTGCCCTCTCTCTGCCCACATCCTCCCCACAGGACTCGGTGCGGCTGCTGGCAGTGGAGGCGTGCGTGAACATCGCCCAGCTCCTGCCCCAGGAGGATCTGGAGGCCCTGGTGATGCCCACCCTGCGCCAGGCTGCTGAGGACAAGTCCTGGCGTGTCCGATACATGGTGGCCGACAAGTTCACAGAGGTAGGGGAGGGACTGTTGACAGTGTCTCACGTATAGGCAAAGTGAGGCCCTCAAATGCAAAGGGGTGGCACAACTAGCAGCTGGGTTTTAGTTCACCATCGTGACATCACCGGTGTGAGCAGTGCAATCTCTGATCGTCCCGTCGGACCTTACGTCACAGGCCAACCTGGTTGCTTGATAGTGGCAACTCGAAGCACCATGTTGAGAAGGGCTCTGAGGGCCAAGTTCCATGGGAGAGGGTGCCCAGGAGCAGAGAAGGGTAATGTGTGTGCCTTCCTGACCTGATCAAACTTTCTGTCTTTGGACAAAAGGGATGACATAGCCTGTGTGAGTTTGCTGGGGCTGCTGTTGCAAAATACCACACACTGGGTGTACTCCATTTCCTCACAGTTCTGGAGGCTACAAGTCTGAAGTTAAGGTGTCAGCTGGGTAGTTTTGCTGAGATTTATTTCTTTGCCTTACGGATGGCTGTCTTCTCCCTGTGTCCTCACGTAGTCATCCCTCTGTGCATGTGCTTGTCCTAATTTTCCCTCTAATGACTGCAGTCATTTTGCTTTAGAGCTGCCCTAATGACCTCAGTGCACTTTAATGCATTAGAGACCCTGTCTTCAAATACAGTCACCTTCTGACATGCTGGGGGGTTGAGACTTCAACATGTGCATCTTGGCGGGGGGAGCACAGGCCCAAATGCTTGACTCGTGAGTGAAACCACAGGCAGACAGAACGGGAACAAATCCCACATTTGTCCCAGGAGTCTCTTTCCATGGCACTCAGCTGTGCTTTGATCCCACTCGCCATGTGTGTTGAGTACCAGTTCTTTGGTGGGCACTGGAATGCTGTGAATTCGGCACATTCCCATCTGTCATGGAACAGATGGCCTCAAGGGGAATGTCCAGGGGAATAAATGTCGTAGTCAAGTATCCGGGGTGCTGGGGCTCACACATACGTGCGCATGGACACATTAAGGAGAGGAGGTGGTGTGACAGCTGATTCTAGAACATGAGTGGGTGAGAGCTGGAGCAGGAACTGATGTAGGAAAAGGGCAGCACATGCAAAGGACCCGTGGAGTGGGGAGCAAGCCCAGGCAGGCACATTCAGGGCTGGCCCCGGGGGCCCTTCAGAGAGGAAACCGGAGTGGAGAGATAGGCAGGGCCTAAGCAGAGAGGCCTCAGCCAGTCCATCCTGTGGCTCCCTGTCTCCATGAATATCTCCCCTGGTGTTTGCTTGAAGGACTTGGAGCCTGAGGATGACATTTCCCAGGACCATCTGTTTTCCTTTGCAAAAATGTTAGCACGACATGGCTGTGCTACCGTGGCTCTTTTGAGAGCCTCAGTACCACAAAGGAAGAGGCTTCTTCCCGTCCCTGGCTCCTGGACAGCGTGACCTGGTTCACACTGGGGTTAGATAAGAGCTCAGCTCTGTGAGAGCAGGGATCTTGGGTGGTTAAACAGTGCATTTGTGGTATGAATACAAGGTGGCATTTGCCCAGGATAGCATTAGGCCCTCCAGGGTCTCTACTTGTTTTTTTCCTTCTAAGCCTCGAACTACCCTGCTGCCTACCAGGTCTTCAAGACCCGGTTTGCAGTAGAACCCTGGTGTCAGGACAGGCAGGGCCCAGCATGCCTTCTTACCTAAGTGCTTCCTGTAACCAATCTTTAAAAAAGAAAAGAAAAAAGCCAGAAGTACATAAATCAAACAGCAAGAGCCACTATATCAGAATGTTTTTGGATCAGGTAATGGAAAACCCAACCCAAATTGCCTGAGCCATATGGAGGTCTCTTACTATTTTTCACGTACACACCACCAGTATGCAGTAGGTACCCTTGTGGTTTGCGTTTTCCTTTGAAGGAAACAGGATCGGAGATGTCAACTGACCCATTCAAGTTCACACAGTTGATAAGTAAATTTGAGCCAGGCAATTGGACTGCAGAGCCATACTTGTAACCACTACCCTGCCCTGCCCAACTGCCCCACACAGTGAGGAAACCTCAGCCCAGAGGTCCAGAGACTTGCCTGGGGTCACCCCCGGGGCCAGGATTAGATCTTGGCAATACTTAGGGTCATACTTTTGCCCTTAATTCTGGTACCTTTAGTTTTGACTTTGGTCTCATTTGCCCAGAGAGCTTTCTAAACCCTCTCACTTTCCCTCACCTCCTGCCCTTTCTGCAGCTCCAGAAAGCTGTGGGGCCTGAGATCACCAAGACAGACCTGGTCCCTGCCTTCCAGAACCTGATGAAAGACTGTGAGGCCGAGGTGAGGGCCGCAGCCTCCCACAAGGTCAAAGGTTGGTGCTGGCGACCAGAAACACCGCAAGTGGGTGGGGGTTGGAGGTGCAGGTGGGTGGGGTAGAACCAGGACATCAGGTCTCACTGCACCATTCTCCCTTCCTCTGTCCACAGAATTCTGTGAAAATCTCTCAGCTGACTGTCGGGAGAATGTGATCATGACCCAGATCTTGCCCTGCATCAAGGTAAAGGGGATTTGGTGGGAGGAGTAGAGCAGACTGGAGCCTGCCAAAAGGAAGAGAGGAGATTGGGCTTTAGGGACAGCCAGGCACAAACGAGTTCCAGCTTTCCAGGACTGGGCCACCTTGGGTTTGAAGTAGTTGGGGACCCTGAGGGCAGGCAAAATCTGAGGCTAAGAGCTGAGCTTCAGCATGGGCGTGGCTTCCCCCTCATGGGAAAGGCCGCTGAGTCCCCACATCCAGAATGCTTTGGGGTCAGATGGGGACCGCTAGAGCAGGAGCCATTGAACACAAAGCAGGTGGGACATACAGGAAATTATAATTCCCCTTGTAACCTGAGCCGTCCCTGCTCCGTGAGTGACAAGGGCAAAAGCAGACCACAACTCAGGCTTTGTAGGCACTGGAGTGTACTTGGCCTCTAACCCTGTGGTTGCCCCTTTCTTCTCCCTCCCAGGAGCTGGTGTCTGACGCCAACCAACACGTCAAATCGGCTTTGGCCTCAGTCATCATGGGCCTCTCTCCCATCCTGGGTAAAGACAACACCATTGAGCACCTCCTGCCCCTCTTCCTGGCTCAGCTGAAGGATGAGGTAAGGGCACTGGGCAGGCTCTGAATTCAGGTTTGCAGAGGCAACTGATGCTGGGTCAGCTGTTTTCTCAGATTGGCCAGTTATCTCCTAGAATCCCAGCAGACCCCCAGCTCTCTGATGAGTGAATGTGGGCTCGATGGACTGTGCAGTCACTTGTTCGCTTATTGGGCAGTTGTTTTGCCTGCCCTTACTCTGTGCTAGCCCTTTTCCTGGGCATTGAAAGTGCCAGAATAGACAAGAAGGTTTTGATCCTCAGAGAGAGATTGGCAGTGGAGAGACATGTGGGTGATCCCATGTTTCCACGACAGTACAGGTTTATGTTTATTGTGGTACAAGCTAAGCTCCCAAAATACAGTGGCCTAAATAAGATGGGGAATCGTTTCTCTCACAATAGTCCAGAGGTGGGTGGGCCTATGTGGGCATTTAGCTTTGCCTTCCTCAGAGCCCTCCAGGTCTGAATCGGCTGCACTGATTTTTAGCACCTCCCAGCCAGCACGAAGGGAGAAGGCACTGGACAGCAGCAGGCCTAGGTCTGTAAGAGCAATGCCCAAAAGAGGGCACCCATCGGCCTACTCACACCTTTGTACCCCATTAACCAGAGGCTGTCGTGTGAGCATCCCTAGCTTAGTTGGCCTGGGGTACAGAAGGTGAGAGAGAGTGCTGGGCAATGGCTGGGGGGCTCATGGGCCCCAGCCAGAGAAGGAGTATGGACTTAAATCTGGTGAATGGAGGAGCTGGAAGAGATGTGGGTGTTAGGAAGGAATCCCAAGAGTACTGTTGAAGAAAGAGCGAAGTCCCACAGCCAGGGAAGTACAGGGCCACCAGCTTCTAGTTGTCCTCTGCTGCTGGAGTCACGTGGACAGCACTCACATTTCCCACTAATGATGTGCGGTGTCACGAAGTGCTGCTGATAGGGAAGTCCACCTCAGCCTGGGATGGCGCCACCAGCCTGGCTGACCTATTACTGTGTCCCCACCTTCTCAGAGTTCATGGCCCCAGGCACCCAGGTAAACAAAGACTAACCAGGCAGAATAGTCCAGGGGCTTAGAGACCATCCTTTGGAATGTGCCAGCCTGCTGAGTAACCCTTTACTGCACTGCATACTTGCATACTTGCATACATTTCTTCATTGATTCATTTATTCCTTGTTGCACATTAGAGAGGATTAGCCCTGGGTCTACTGTCTAGAATATGTGATGTAGGACAAGGACCTGGTAAGGCTCTTGTTTCAATGAGCAAGAGTTAATTGTGTTTATATACCTTGTTGTATAAGTTGCTTCACATACTTTATGGAAGGTAAATGGGATATATATATATATATATATATATATATATATATATATATATATAGTAAATCAGTGCTCATAATATTGGTAGTCAGCAGGCAGTTTAAAAATACTTCTTTGTTTCATTGTTCATTCTTTCAGCAGCAACGTATTGAGCACCTGCTGTGGACTACAGACTATGCTGGGTACTAGAGGGAGAGAAGGCTGAATGGGACGTGCTCCTTGCTGAGCTCAAGGACTAGCAGAGAGAATAAAAGTAATAGAAGTGATCATCATAAGCTCCCACAGTGTTTAGCCACTTGTGGATCAGACTCTGTGGTGCGCACTTGAATAGGCTTACCCACCCTTTGAGGTTGGATGGATGTTTCCTTGTCACAGTTTGATACCCAGAAGTGTTCCCAGCTAGCAAACAGCACAGTGGGATTATTACATGTTTACATTTTCCAGTGTTCCCTGTTTTTATACTCGGAGTCCTGCAAGTCCTTCAAAATAGCTGAACATTTCTTGTGCTCTTTATGAGATTTGAAAAGCTGCTTCCCTTAATCCATGTTGCTTGCTTCTCATGTGCTTTTAATGTGCTCCCAGGGCTGGGAGCTGGGTCTGAGCAGTAGTCGGTTCTCAGGAGATGTCTGTTACAGAGTTGATGGTGTTGAGCTCTTTTCACCTTGTCCTGGGTCACCATGTGCAGTGCATGCTCTCAGAACCCTCCTGTCCTCTCCTCAGTGCCCAGAGGTGCGGCTGAACATCATCTCCAACCTGGACTGTGTAAATGAGGTGATTGGCATCCGGCAGCTCTCCCAGTCCCTGCTCCCTGCCATCGTGGAACTGGCTGAGGACGCCAAGTGGCGAGTGCGGCTGGCCATCATTGAGTATATGCCCCTGTTAGCTGGACAGCTGGTGAGTGAGGAGGCTGGGTGCCAGGCACACTGCCAGGGGAGGAACCGCCAGGGCCTAGTGAGGGTGCAGTGAGATGAGGGCGCAGTGAGATGAGGGAGCTGTTACCAGCACTGTAAGCTGTGAGGACTGTCTGGGAAGTGGGAGGAAGGGGCCTAGGAAATAGGGCCCTAGAAGATGAATAGAATTCATTAGGAAAAGAAGGGAAAGGAGCTCCTCTGGAGAAGCTGAGAGGTGGCTGTCTGTGTGGGGATTTGCTGGAAACCACCCAGACTCCCTCCATCCCTTAACTCATTCTCTCCTGCAGGGGGTGGAGTTTTTTGATGAGAAACTCAACTCCTTGTGCATGGCTTGGCTTGTGGATCATGGTGAGTGCCTCCCGTGGGCTGGTGGAGGAGATGGGGCTCCAGGAAGATGGGTGGCAAGTTGACTGGGGCCGGTGTGGGGAGTGGGCAGGCTGGAGTCATTCTCCTTGCTCATCAGATGCTCATCAGATGTGGACCAATTCCCTTGCTTTTTAGAATCCTGGAGAGGTGTAGGGTTGGAGGGGGACATAACAGGTCACTCAGGGGCTGCCTAGTGTAGTGGAGAGTCCAAAGGCCACCGAGCAGACAGGCCTGGGTTTGAATCGCACCTCCTGGCTTTTGAAGCTTATTAAGCAGGTCACCTACCACACTCCTTTCATGAAACCTGGGACTTCTCATCCCAGAATTTCTGGGCCATTGTGAGCATGGCTCACTGTTTTCACTAAGACTGGTAAAAAAAACCCCAGAAGTTAACGTTTGTCTGTACCAGGCACCATTTCAAGTACTAAGCACTAAATTCTTTGCCTGGGCATATCACTTCTTAAAGCCCTTGGACCCATCTGTAAAACGAATCCAGTAATGGAATCTTTGTCTTGGGACTGTTGAGAGGATACTGCATGAGAAGAAAAGCCCACATTTAGCGTGTAGTGAGCCCTTTTGTGAGGAGCTATTGAGTCACTTGGCGGCCTGAGACCTAGGGGCTGTGGGCTGCTCAGGAGCCAGTAGAGAGCGTGGCTGTTAGATCCCACACACATCAGTCCTTCATCTCTTGAGTCCCTGCTGTGTCCCCCTTGCTCTCCTGCAGTCTATGCCATCCGCGAGGCGGCCACCAGCAACCTGAAGAAGCTGGTGGAGAAGTTTGGGAAGGAGTGGGCCCACGCCACTATCATCCCCAAGGTCTTGGCCATGTCTGGGGATCCCAACTACCTGCACCGCATGACTACACTCTTCTGCATCAATGTGAGCACCCCACCTACCCACCCGCTTGTCCCTGGGAACTAGGCAGGCCTGGGAGAGGCGGGGGGAGGGTCCTCAGGGGATACAGTTGGCTTAGGAGTGGGGAAGTGGTGGCGACCTGGGGTGGCAGGGATGTAACCCTAGGAAACTGTAGGCCAGATGTTGGGGCTCCCCCAGTCAGAGTCTCAGGGCCTCTAGGGGGTGGGTACCCGCCTGGTGGGAAACTCAAGACAAGGGAGGGGCACTCAGCCTGTTGAAGCAGTGATAACCCAAACCTTTCTGAGCACCCTATCATTTCCCGTATGTTGGCATGCATATTTATTTATGATAGAATGGGAAAGTGTACAGGCTGTAGAGTCAGACCTATTTTTTTTATTGATTTTAGAGAGAGAGGAAGTGAGAGGGAGAAGCAGAGAAACATCCATTTGTTGTTCCACTTACTCATGCATTCATTGGTTGATTCTTGCATGTGCTCTGACCGGGGATCGAACCTGCAACCTTGGCATATTGGGAGAAAACTCTAACCAACTGAGCTACCCATCAGGACTTAGACCTAGTTTTTATTATTTTTATCCTCACCCAAGGATGTGCTTATTGATTTTAAAGAGAGGGGACGGGAGAGAGAAGGAGAGAAACATTGATCAGTTGGTTGCCTCTTGTTCACGCCCCAACGGAAGATTGAACCTGTAGCCTTTCATTTTATGTGTTGATGCTGCAACCAACTGAGCCACAGTAGCCAGGGCACAGACCTAGTTTTTAATTCTAGTTCTTGAGTTTCCTAGCTGCAGACTTTGGGAAGCAGATCTCACTTCTAAGTGCTTGAGTTTTCTCATCTGGAAAGGATTTGTGCTGGCAATCACAGCACTTTCTTCATCAGGTTGTGACAGTAACCTGGTTGTACATGCAAAGGGCTTAGAACAGTTAGGAAATAAGAGCAAGTGCTCCTTCCTGGTCTTTACGAAGAAATCATACATGTGGCTAGAAAAAAGGATAACTTTTTTTTAATGTGTTCTTTTTTTGTTTTCTTTTAAGATTTTATTTACGTATTCAGAGAGGGGGTGGGAGAAGAAGAGGGAGAGAAACATCAAAGCATGAGGGAAACTTTAGTCGGTTGCCTCTTGCACACCCCCATCTGGGGACCTGGCCTACAACCCAGGCATGTGCCCTGACTGGGAATCAAACCCGTGACCTTTTGGTTCGCAGGCCAGCACTCAGTCTACTGAGCCGCATCAACCATGGCAAAAGGATAACATTTAAAAACAGTTGTAACTAAGTGTTCAGATCATTTATGCCCATGCCTCACCTTGGAGACCACTGAACTAAGGAAGGGGTCTGGGGTTTAGGAATCAAGCCCATCCCCAGAGGATGAAGGGAAGTCTAGGGATGGGTCTGGGACCACCTAGGCTGAGAGTTACCTGGGCCAGGTGATAGTAGTGTTAGGAGGGTGATAGGGGAGATGGGAACTTCGGGAAGATAAATGGTCCCCTGGGAGGGTAACTATGGGCTCAAGAGTCCCCATATTGCTCAGCTTTATCCTCAGGCCTGGTAATCACTGAGGTGGCCTGGTCAGAGGAAGAAGAAAGTGAGAGTTAGCCATGAACTTTGGATAATCACCCCTCTGCCACTCATCCCAGGTCTTGTCTGAGGTCTGTGGGCAGGACATCACCACAAAGCACATGCTGCCTACAGTCTTGCGTATGGCTGGGGACCCTGTCGCCAACGTCCGCTTCAATGTGGCCAAGTCCCTGCAGAAGATAGGACCCATCCTGGACAACAGGTGAGGCCCGTACTGACCCTTACACACTGGCAGGGCAAGTTTGGTCATCGTAATTTTTGACCTTTGAAAACAGAGCACTGCTCTTCCCTTTCTGTGTCATTGGGGTGGGTCTCTTCTTCCCACGGTGTTCATTTCCTCAGGTGTAGAATGAGAATTCACGTGGCCTGCCTCACCTGGTGGGAAGCGGTAAGAGGGTGGCAGGTCTATATGCTAACAAATCATTAGAAAATGAAATTAACAGATACAGATATCTTTGTGTGTGTGTGTAATTTATAAGGGCACCAAAACCATGAAATGGCCAAGAGTGAAGTTAATGAAAGATGTGTATACCTCTAGTGAAAACTATAAAACCGCTGCTCTGAGAATTAAAAAAGACCTATGTAATATTTTTGGATGGGATGGTTCCCCAAATTCATGTCAGAGTCCAGTGTAATCTCAGCAGTGACAGGTTGGTTCTGGAATTCACAGGGAAACACAAAGGTCTGAAAAGCCAAGGAGATCCTATAGAAGGAGAGAGTTGGAATACTTGCACTACCAGAGACCAAGACTCACTATGATACTGCCGTAATGAAAAAGTGAGGTGTTGGCACAGCTTTTGAATGGCCAGTGGGACAGGATGACCTGTGTGTATTCAGCTTGTGCCACTGCGGTTGAGAGAGGAAAGCGGGTATTTTCCATAGACGGCTGGGTCAGTTTGATAGGCATGTGGGAGGAAAACCATTCACCTGAGTGCATAAAATTGGAGATAACAGAATCAGAAGTATCAAGAGAAAAAAAAAAAGATCTTAGAAGAAAGCATCAGAAAATATCCTCAAGACTTAATGGTAGGCAGAGATTTTTAAAAAGCTCACCAGAGGAAAAAAATAAGTTGTCCCTGAGTAAAATGAAGAACATCGAGAGAACACGCATGAGAATGTACACTAGCAGGCCATTGACCCGGAGGAGGCATTTGCAGTGCACATTTCCGGCAGGACACCTTATTCAGAATACTGTCCTGCAAGTTGCCACCACAAAGAAAACCCAAGAAAGAGATGGGCAAGAGGAAAAAAAAAAAGATTTGAGCAAGTACTTACAAAAGAGATTCCCACGTAGCTAATGAGCATACAATAATCAGATGTTCAACGTCACTAGTCAGGAAAATGCATCAGGAAATGCATCACTTGCATCAGGAAAATGCAAGTGAAAACACACCCCAGAATGACTAAACTATAAAAAGCTCGGTCATTTGGTGTTGGCGTGCTGCAGGCAGGGCTGTAGAAGGGTGCAGTCTCTTTGAAAACTGGTGAAATCTAGTGAAGGTACGCCCCACGCGCTGGCACATCCACTCCTGGGTACGTATCCTAGAGATGTGAGTGTTTATTTTTAACAGAAGAATGTGGCAGCTTTACTCCCATTTTCCCTGAAATGGAAACCACCCAAGAGCCCAACAACAGTACAGTGGGTAAACTGTGGTGTTCACACAAGGAAGACTATTCAGCAGTGAAAAGAAAGTGCTGTACTCAACAATAAAGCTGCCTTTCACGACTTGCACCATTTTGTTGGGTGAGAAGCTAGACCCAGGAAAAATTTACATCGACTTCAAAAATTTATATTTATTGAACTCGATATCCATTTATATCGAGTTAAAAAATTGGACAGATCTAGATGATAGAAGTGAGAATGAATATATGGGGAAGGAGAGGAGCTGTCTGTCACCTGGAACCCCTTCCCACGATGCCTGCCTCTCTGATGACTTTCTTTGCGTCTGGTCCAGGACATCACCCCACACTTTTAGTCCCTCTCTGAAGTGTACCTTCATTTCCAAACACAGTGGACTGTCCATGAAGACAGATTTCCCTGGCACCTTTCCAGGACAGCAGGTGGCTCTTCTGAGCTCCTGGAGGGTCAAGTACTTCCCTTTTAGAACTTGGCTCCTCTGTTTCTTACCATCAGTTGGCTTTGTCTCACTCCTAGCCCAAGCTCCTCATGGACAAGAATGAAGAGTGTTGGATTTACTTTTGTTCACACCTCATCCCCAGTAGGACTCAGTAAGCAGGTTAAACGAATGAAAGACATCCATCTGTTGGCCTCGGAGACTTGTGGGCTCTGTGATTCTCTGCCCCCGTTGCCCAGCTTGTCTGACCTCCCTGTGCCTGTTCTGGGCCCAGAGACCTCTTAATTCCCATGTGAGCCTGTGTCCGTACCTTGTATCCCCAGCCCTGCCCAGCTCACCCTTTCTTTTGCCTTCCCCTTCTCCTTTCAGCACACTGCAGAGTGAAGTCAAGCCCATCCTAGAGAAGCTGACCCAGGATCAGGATGTGGACGTCAAGTACTTTGCCCAGGAGGCCCTGACTGGTAAGGCTTTGAGAACTCGGAGACCCAGCGGGAGGGTGGTGTGCAAGGAGGGGCCAAGGCCTGGGAGCAGCAGCTCCTGGCAGGGGAGATACAGGAGCAGCTGTGGGCGGGCTTCCTGTGGTTCTGACTCCCGCCTGTTCCTGTTCCCCCAGTTCTGTCTCTCGCCTGATGCTGGAAGAGGAGCCAACGCCGGCCTCTGGTGTCCACCCCCAGGCCCCAAGTTCCCTCCTTTGGGAGACGGCGGGGGGCCTTTGGCTTTCACTCCCTGTGCATGGTCTGACCCCAGGCCCCACCCCAGCACGGTTCCTCTTCTCCCCAGCCTGGGAATCTGACTTCTCACTGTCTACCTTCCAAGGGGCTGGGGGAGCACAAGGTGGAACAGGGCAGTGACCCTGGGAGAAAGGGGTGGCCACTCCCACCTGAGGGGGGAGAGAGGTGAACATCCAAGGTCACTGGTTCCTGCTGCTGTAATGGGGACCCCTCCCCAATCTACTTCTCCACCTCCCTTCCTCCCCCTCAGTGGTTTTTTTTTTGTGTGTGTCAACTGTGTCGTTTTTATTTTATTCTCCCCCCGACCCCCACCCCTTTTCACAGAGAAATAAAGGTCTAGAAGTAGCTGGTTCTCTGGTCTGTCACTAGCATGGAGGAGGGAGCTCCATATCAGGGCCACGGTCTCTGCCCTGTCTTTGGGGAAAGCCCTAATTACTGGGCATGGATTCCCCTGGGGAGTGCAGCTGGCCTACAGAATAGAGGGTCCTTGAGGTGGCACTGCTCAGCAGAGTCCTGTATTCAGTTCAGTTTTGCAGACACTGGTGGTGGTGAAGAGCAGGTGCCTTGGAGCCAGACTGCCTAGGTCCAAATCCCAGTTCTTTAAGAGCTGTGTAACCATGAGCAAGTTACCAGGTCTCTCTGAACTTGGTTTTGTACACTGTAAAATGGGAGTAACTGTAGCATCTAGACTGTAGGGCTGGCTGTGAAGACTAAATGAGTTCATGCATGTCAGGTGCGTTGTGGTGCCTGGCACAGAGAAGCAGTCAGTGAGGGTAGCTCTGACTTGCCAGAGAACCTCTTTGGGGCTGTGTCCTGCCCCTGAGAGGGTCTCAGGATAATCAGGGCTGTAACGGAGCAGGAGAGATGACTGCCTGGATTTAAGGCAGTTTCCCAGGTCTCTTGAAATTTGGTGTGGCAGGTAACTTAAATTCTGGCCAATCAGTGTGAACAGAACAGGATCAGAAGAGCACTGGTCCTGACACTGTGAACACCCATATCGGTATCAGTTACCTAGCCGAGTTAAACTGTTTGAGTGACTGTTCGTTTGGGATTTCATCACTTGCAGGTCACCTGAATTCTAACTGATGCAGGGGCCAGTGAGTCCTGGACAGAGGAACAAGAGACTTAGTGGATGGCGGTGCATGTAAGGTTTCACAGTGGACAGCAGGGTGTGATACTTCAGTGAAATTTGACTCAACGGGGCGGAGGGGAAATTGGTATATTGGGTGGCAGGGTGATTTCACCAGCTCAGTCCTTACATTAGTGAGTCCCTACTGTTTTTAATATAGGCCCAATTGGGTCCTGGAGGAATGAGGGTGAATGAAACCCTGTTTTTCCCATTATTAGCTTATTTTATGTGAGTTTCATAAGGGCAAGGCCTGCGGTTTAAGCTCATTGTGGCCATGCCCCTGGCCCAGCACAGATGTACCTTTCCTAGGATACAAATATTTGAAGGACTTAAGTGAGTGAAGAATTCATGAAAGTGGGAAGTGGGGGTTGGAGGGGCAATATAATCACTTTCAGCATGATGTCGACTGTTCTAGCTTAGCAGGCAGCCTACCAGTAATAATTGAAGGAACATTCAAATGAATGACCCGTGGTGTTTCAGTTATATTTTACTGCACAACAACCCACACCCAAAGCTTAGTGACTTCAAACAATAAAAGATACATTCTTCCTCATAATTCTGTAGTCTGGGCTTTGTTCAGTCAGAAGGTCCTAGTGCTCCTTGTGGTGACTCCTGGGGCTGAAATGTTTGAGATGACTTACTCCCGTGGCTGGACCTCTTTCCCTGATCACATATGTCTCCAAAGCGGTTTCCAAGAGAACAGGTCCCAGTTAAAAAGTGCTTTTGCACCAGAAGCAAAAACCAGCCACGTGGTCAGGCTGAGCTGTGGAGGGTCCCTGCCAAGATGTGAAAACTTGCAGGCGTGGCTCAGCAGGCCTGCCAGTGTAACAGTAGTGCAATGACAGGCTTCGAGTTCCATAGTAGCTGTGCTACTCACATGGGCAGGGATCAACAGCACAAGGATTTGAGGCTGATTTCAGAGTACATAGAGCATTTTGGAGCAAGGTGAGGATTTAAACATCATGCTGGAAGACAGAAGAGCCACAGGGTGTTTTGGCAATGGAGTGACAGCATTAGAATTGATGGGGGAGACATGAGGACTGGAGGCCTGGAAGGATTCTGGTTTAAGTGAGTTTTGAGCTGCAGCAGGTACCGTGGAGTGAGGGACATGGTGGGTAAAAAGAGAAACAATAAAAAGATTCTGAAGGAGACAGATTGGAACTCAGTGACACCTGGTTTTGGGGACTAAAAGGAACAATGCAGTCACCTTGGCAACCAAGATACAAGTATTCCCAGCCTTATCACTCGTTCCCACGTGGAAAATGTCCTTTGTTCCTATAAGATCACTTGTCTCCACATCTTCAACCTTTTTTTGGTCATAACATGAACCTCTGCAAAGCTGCCTTCCCTCTTCAGGGAAACAAGTAATTCAGTACTGGGAATGGAGTAAGTGAGAAATGGCATGGTACAGGGGAGCATGGAGAAGGATGTAGGGGCCAGATCCCAAAGAGCCTCCAGATACCAGGGTGAAGATCTGGAATTTGGCCCCAAGGAACAGGGTCTGCTGAGACTTGGGAAGATCCTTCTGGGGTCAAATAAGGCCAGGGGGCCACGGAGGTAGCAGGGGTGATGGTCCTGGAGAGTGAGGTCAGGGCCTCAGCTAGGGTCATGGCCAAGGAGAGAGGACAGGGTGATTGAGGTGGCAGACTTAATACTACTTTTCAAACCCTCAAGGAGTGTCAGGAAGGAAGGCCCTGTCCCTCCAGTTCTCAGATCTAATCAAAACATCTGCAGGCTTACCACATGCCCTGTTATCGTCCCTCCTGTCTGGAGGAAGTCTCCAAGCACTTCCTGTAGTGCAGCTGTGTTTTCCAGAAATGGAAACAGACTCAGTGTGTTGGGTGTGTGATGTGGTGGTCTTACAGACTGACCAGTTCACAACTCCACAAATCCAGACATAAAACTACTTCGATAGCTTAAGATCCTCCTAGGGCCCAGCCAAGGAGGGAAGCTGGCCCTACAAGTTAGATAAGAAAAATCACTGTAGGAAACACGGGTCCTGATGTCTTAGCCATGATGCAAAATGTGGAAATCCTTGGCTTTTTAATGAGTCACTGGGGGCAAAACGTGAACTCACCTGCTCTGCTATAATGACAAAACTTGACTTAGATTGCTGTTGAGGGTTTTACCCTCTTACTTGGAATAGAAACCACAGCAGGAATATTAATGTGTTAGTAATATCAAAAATCTCCACAGAAAATCCCAGGCCCAGATGACTTTACTAAATTATATTAAAGCAGGAGTGTCCAACCTGCAGTCCACCAGCCACGTGCAGCTTAACACAAAATCATACATTTACTTAAAACATTGAGATTTTTTTGTGTGTTTATGTGTCACGATGTATCTAGTGTGTAGCCCAAGACAACTCTCCCATTATGGAGCAGAGACACCAAAAGGTTGGATGCCCCAAAGAATGCTAATTCTTCACAAACTTTGAGAAGTAGAAGAAACACTTCCTGACTCATTACTCTGACACTAAGACCAGACAAAAACACCAAATGAAAAAAGTCTACAAACTATTATCTCTTATGAACTCATGAATCTTGACACTTGGACACGGCTTTGGACCAACAGCTTTAGCATCCCTTGGGTACTTGAACAGTCTTGAACTATCTTCACCCTGGTATCTGGAGGCTCTTTGGGATCTGGCCCCTACATCCTTCTCCATGCTCCCCTGTACCAGTCTGGGTACCCCAGACCTGTTCAGTTTTATTTTTTTACTTATGTCTTTTATACTGAAAATCTTAGTTTTTAGTGGAAAATATTAAGTGTTTAGTGGTAAAAACAATCGACATAATTGTTTTATTCATATTTTAGGATAAGTATGCAATACATTCTTATATAAATAGAATGTTATATAATTACACATTCTATTAGGAAAACATAATAGATTTACTAATCCCAAACTAACTAACACATTTACTAAGAATCAGTCTGCTGAGTATAGCTCAATGTTTCTTTATGGCTTGTCTTGTTTTTGAAGAAATTCCCTACTTATGTGGCCTGAGGTCACATAGCCCTTTTAACCTACCAGCTCTCACTTGAGCAGTGCTTCAGCCATGGGACACCTGAAAAGGCCCACTGGCCCTGTGATCCCATTGAGTCCTGACTTTTCCACGTATAGGGTGACTCTACTTCTATGAACTTGCAGTGGGGAGACTCAAATGAAAGCATGGCTCTATTGTGTAAGGAGCAGTTACTGACCATCCCGCACTGCAGGCCGTGCTTGCTCTGCAAGCCTGAGCCTCTGTGGGAGCTAAAGTTGGCTGTTCTAGGCCCTCGATCCTGGAGCTTGCTCAAGGTAATGAGACAGGTGGGGCCAGGATGAACCACACTGCCCTGATTCCTCTTCAGGCCGCTCCCTCTCCCTTTTTTACTATGGAGTAGTATTAGGTAGTCTGTTTAGTTTTTCTTTAAAATAAAACACACATTTTCCATTTTCATCAGTAACTTCATTGATTTGGATATTTTGAGTATGTCGGTTATCTCCTGCTGCTGGCTTTTAATGAATAGAGAGGAATGCTGCTAAAATTTTTTTTTTAAATCCTCACCCAAGGACTTTTCATTAGCTTTTTGAGAAAGAAAGAGGAAGGGAGAGAGACAAACATGGATGAAAGAGAAGCATGGATTGGTTGTCTCCATATGCATCCAGACTGGGGATCTGTGCCGGGACCAGGAATTGTACATGTCTGGACTGGGGCCACATGGGGTCACATCCTGACCAGGGATGAATCTGAAACCTAGGCACGTGGTCTGACCGCGAATCAAACTTGGAACCTTTCAGTTACAGGACAATGCTCCAACCACTGAAACCACTGAGCCACACTGACCGGGGCTAAAACGTCTTCCATCACACAAAACCCCATAGCAAAGAATTATTTGGCCAAAGTGTCAGTAGTCCCAAGAAATTTTGCAAACCACTTTTGATACATTCCATCAGCCACAACACCTTCTCCATACACTGCAGAAGTCTCTGTGTTTCAGTTGTATTTTTACCTTTCTTGAAATAAAGCCATAATAGAATGAAAATGCTGTGTATCTCCTACCATCTTCGACATTAAAATGGCTGCACAAAAGTTCACCAATTTTGATACTTTTTAAAAATGCACACTGATATGACAACTGTCAATACAATCTACCAAAATTGTTTCAAATGAAGTTAAAGACAACTAAACACTACTAGAGCCATTGTATAAAACTAACAGACTTTTCAGCCAACTACAGCTTTTTTACCCACTAATCCACTTGCTGATAGACACCAGCTGCTTCCAAATCTTGGCTGTTGTAAATAACGCTGCAATGGATTAAATTCAAATTGCAGGTGATGGTCATTCCTGGATCCAACCTTTGTCCCATCTTCCCCCAAATAGTTTTCACTTGTTAAAAGTAGCGATCTCAGCTTTCAACATAGCGTGGCGCACACAACTCTAAGCATTTACCTTAAGCTGTTTGGAACAACTTACAGCACTCAGGAAGGCGCTCAGCTCCACATGTCAGGAAAGAAGTAGAACGGGTTCCATCATTCAGAAGAGACCCCCTGAAAGCAAGGCTGAATCCAGGTCTCGCCCCTACACCTTTCCGCCCCGCACTCCCGGCTCTAGTCCAGCCGTTATTCTCGCCTCCTCTTTGCTGGAAGGGTCGGCCCAGGACACGCCCCTGACCCCGCCTTTCAGGCCGCGCGCACCCGCAGATGCTTACAGACCCGGAAGTGGCTGTGGCGTGTGGAAGGGTACGCTGGCCTTTCTGGTTTCAGTATTGCTGGTGTAAACCTGATCATCTAAGTCCACATTTCTATACCGATAAAGCCTGAGAGACGCTACAGGTGTTGAAATCCCCGAACGTGCACTTCCTACAGCGGTGAGTCTGGCGTCCCCTCGAGATTCACCAGCCCCGAACGCTTTGCTGCCGGGTGGAGGGTCAGGGTTCATTTCGGGTAAACTGAGGCCGTCCCGCCCTTGGTCTCTCCGCCTTCCGGCAGTTGGACTCTCCTGCCGCGTGGTTATCTGCTGAAAGGTGTTCCTTGGGCAGCCCTTCCACCCCGCTTTGTTGAAAGTATCGGGAGGTGCAGTTAAACCTTTTGCGCCCCTCCCCCGTCCTCGCAGCTCACCGCCCCTGGAGCCGGACTGCACCCCGCCCTGGGGATCTGCAGACCCTATTTAATAAGAGACCCCAGATTCAGGAAGAGCACACTTTCCAAGGGGTGGGACTTAGGACGAGAAAACTGTGTCCCCAGGAGTGACCTGCCCCACGCGGGAAGGAGTTTTGAGGAAGCGGTGCCGGCGAAGGGGCGGCCAGGAAAGCGGCGGAACGAACCGGTGCGGGGATCTGAAGACGGAATGAGAGAGACGGACACATGAGGGGGAGAAGATGTCGGTGAGGGGCTTTAAGAGACTGCAACATAGGGGAGCAGGGGATATGGGAGGAAGGGGGCCGCTACCTAGGAGTGGAAAGGTAACTGGGGAAAGTAGTTGGAGGAGGAAGACAGGGACGGAATGCCGAGGAGAATGAGGAGCCCCAGAGAGACAAGAGGAGCTTACAGGGAGAGGGACCTGTGAGCAAAAGTGGGGCAGCAAAGGGCGAGGCGCTTCAGATAGAGGGAGTGATTCTGAGAAGAGTTGGGGGAGCGAGCACAGGGACACGGATCAGAGGGAAAAACAGCACTGGGTCAGCACCCCGCTGGGGGCGGGGTGTGACAGGAAAGACTAGTAACAGGGACCACAGTGGAGACTGGCGCAGAGATGTATGGAGGTGGGAGCAATCAGAGAGCGCAACTTGAAGGTGAAAAAGGTTTCATGAGATTCTCAAAACCGGTGTAGGGACAGGAACAGAGGAAAGGGGAGAAAAAGGGGAGGTGGAAGGAAAGGACAGCAGTTCAGAGAAACAGGGAAGAGACAAGCATCCATACACAGAAATGTAGGTAGCAGGAAAAGAAGTGGAACCGGATGTGGAAGAATAGTAAGCTGATGGGGTGCGGATGATTAATTTGTGAGATATCGGCTTTTGCTGAATTGTTCCTGTTAAACAGAGTCGAATTGGAATTGCAGAACTTTGGTATATAAGATTTGTTTGTTTTATAATTATTTACATCACCAAATAGCTTCCATTTACAACCCTTATTCACTCAGAGGGGAGACACTTGTCTGTCAGTAGTGGGTCCCTTCTCATTTCCTGGGATGGCAAGAGACAGGTGACCAGGGACAAGAAGTGACTAAGTCTCACCCCATGATTCTTTCAAGGAATACTGAAAACGTTGGGTCTTTTTTCTCTCCAGTGAATTCACATTTTTATGTCTGTCACATTTATGTCTGTTTTATCTTATAAAAACATTGAAATAGATTTTAGTTTGTTAAACCTTTTTTTTTTTTTTTAGTTAATCATCATTGGCTTCTGACACAAGCTTTGTGACATCTCATATAATGAGCTCGTACTGTTCTTAAATGTGAAGTAGTCTCAACTTTTTAAAAACTTTAACTTTAGAAGTCATCACACTAAAAACAAAACCCAAATCGTTTTCCATGTTAAACATGTGTCTAATTTAGATTCTGAGCCCTGCACCCTTTCTTCTGTTTATCACATGTTGCAACACCCATTGGTACTTACTGAATAGTATCAGGCTATTGCACTGTGTACGTGGTAAGCATGTCAATGGTCTTAATAGTCAGAACCTAGTTTCATGAGTTTGTCTGATGTTTTGTAGCCTTTTCCTTCCCTTTATGTGATTTGTTGAATTAGTGACTGTGAGCCACAAAGGAGCTGTCCCCACTTACTCATTTTCTATAAATATTGAAGAATAGACTGGAACAACCTGGAACTTGGTCCCACAGAGCTCATCTATTCATGGTAAAGTGATTTGATCAGCATATCTCCATAGTTAACCTTTTTTCAAATTGTTCGGCATCAAAATCCATGTTCATCATTTTATATTTTTTAAATAAAATGTTACGATTTTCTGGAGGAAGGAAATGCTTGTGCCTCTTCATGTAACCTGGCGACAAACAACTCTGTGATGGGAGGACTGTTATCAGCATCTTTTGTACAGATAAGGAAACTGAGGCACAAAAGTGAAAGGTACAGATATTGTAACCTCCTAAAGTCAGATCTTTGTTTTGTGATTATGAGTTGTGTGACTTTTTGGCAAATTATTTACCTCTCTGTGCCTTGATTTCAGTGCCCCTTTGAAAAGGGGATAATAATGTCATCTGCTTCTCAAGCAAGTGAATTTGTAGAAAGCCTGGGCATTAAGACCTGTGTCACTGAGGTGATTATTGCAAAATCTTTCTGTTTAATCCCCCTGGGCTTACCCAGAATCCAGTGCATCCCTTGCCTACTTGCTCTCCTATCTCCACACCCAGTCCCAGGTTCTTTCCTCCGTCACACCTGCCTCATTTCTTGCTGCTGCTCTGGGTAGGCAGTCTCAACTCCCTTGCCTGGCATGTGTGGAATTTTGAAAACCCCACCCAACCAGCCCCAGGGTAGTAGAAGGTACTAGAACACCCTGTCCTTTCTCACACCTGGAGGGATTTGCACAGGTCACTGTCTCCAGGCTTGCAGACTCCTATATCCAATTATCGGTGTGGGAACCTCTCATACCCATAGGTCCCCACCGAGTTCTCTCTTTCCCTAATCTCCCTCCTCCTCCAGATTCCCCACTGTCCACCAAGGCAATGGGCCACAAACAAGGCCCTTTTTACCACTCGTGTTAGTCTCCAGCCCTGTCCCTTCTGATCTCCGACCCTGACCCTCTCCTCTGATCCATCCCTATGGTCTCAGCCTGGCTAAGCCTTGTCCTCTCCCCCTGAACCCTCACCCAGCTTCTTAGGCCTTCATTCTCTTCCAGTCTGATCCCTTTACCCCCAGAAGGGTCTTCCTACATCCAGAGTTGACCCTCCCCCTTCTGTGTTCAAACTCTTTGTGGCTCCCCATGCCACCCATCCCCCCAGCAAAGTCTAGGTTTAGCCACAGTTGGGTGAATGGAGCCTCTGACCACCCTCCTCAGCCTTTCCCGGGACCTCTGCCCAGCACCTGCTGGCTCACCCGCTCCCTAGGTTAGGGCATCCTCTCATCTTTTTTCCCCCAACGCAGACACCAGCTAGCAGCAGCATGAGTAGCCAATGGGCCAGAGCAGCTGTCAGGGCTCAGGTCCCCTTTAAGGACAGCAGAATGGAGGAATCTGAGGACAGAGGGGAGGCTGGATGTCTGAGGACAGGGGCCTGGCTAGAGATGGAAAGAAATGCTTCCTGGTGCTGGCTGTGTGACCTTGGGTGGGCTGCTGGCCCTCTGTGCCTTAGTCTTCTCTTATGTAATGGGGACAGTCATTATGCCTACCTCCTAAGGTTGTCACAAAAATTACATGAGTGAAAGAACCTGGAACAGTGTCAGGCACAGGGGAAGGTTGCATTTTATTTTATAATTAGACAAAAGTTTCTTACCCTTGTCTATCAGTTTGTTTATTTCTCTTCTCTGTGTGAGCTCAGTGTGGGTGACAGGACTCTCATCTGTCTAATTTATTAGCTGAACCTATTATTTAGTGCTTATTAAATAATAATATAATTTAATTTAAATAAATCAAATGTTTGAATACATGAACAAATGGAAGAGAAAACAATAACAACATAAATTGCACCATGAAGATCCATGTTAGCCATAAGGGTTTATCATAGTGAATGTGCAGTGTTGCAGTAACTTGGTTTTTCAGTTCTTTCCTAATAATTATGTTGGATGCTGTCAAATTTTGGGACTTATCTATGTTGATCTAATCACATTTCCTCCCTGTAAATTAAAAAATAAGACTATTTTAAAGATTTTTAGACTTACGGGTAATAAAAAGTATTTTTTAAATATTTATTAAATTTTAGAGAGAGGGAAAGGGAGGGAGAAAGAGAGGGTGAGAAATATTGATGTAAGAGAGAAACATTGATCAGAACCTCTTGTTTGCTCCCTGACTAGGGGCCAAATACACAACCCAGACTTGTGCTGTGGTGGGAAATCGAACTGGCAACCTTTCCCTTTGTTAGGGGACACTCAGCCAACTAAGCCGTACTGGCCAGGGTCATAACAAATATTTTTCATATATAAATCCATGCTTAGAAATCCAACAATATAGTCAAACTCACAGGAGCAAAGATTAGATTGGTGTTGCCAGAGGCTGACGGGATGGGAAAAGGGGAGTTTCTGTTCAGAGGGTACAAATTTTAACTTAGAAGATAAGTAAGTTCTAGGGATCTGCTATATAACAGTGTGCCTATAGTTAACACTATTATATTGTGCGCCTAAAATTTCATAGAAAGGGTAGATCTTTTAAGAATTCTTATTTTAGTCCTGGCTGGTGTGGCTCAGTGGACTGAGCACTGGCCTGTGAACCAAAAGGTCACTCGTTCTGTTCCCAGTCAGGGCATATGCCTGGGTTGCTCAGCCAGGTCCCTCCCCATCTGGAGGGGTACTCAAAAGGCAGCACACACTGATGTTTCTCTCCTTTCTCTCTCCCTTCTCTCTAAAAATAATCGATTACTTATTTTTTAATAAAAGAATTTGTATCAGTAAAACAGTAAGAAGAACAATAGTAAAACATTTGTGGGTCAGTTGGAAAACATAAAAGAGAATGGAGTCATAGGTGATATTAAGTATTAAAAATAATTTTGTGCAGTCATCTAGTTTTGTTATGTGACTTTTAAATCTAGGATTAATTATTTATGAGATGTGAAATTTTAAGACATACCAGTTAGATAAGATATATGGACACCCAAATCTGGATAAGCTTCTAGAATATGCATCCAGGTGTTTTGCTGTGCCTCTGCCCTATCCAATGGAGGGATATGAAGTGGATGATATAAGAGTGGGAAAAGGTTGACAAATTTGGAAGATGTTTTAAGGGTACTTAGAAATGTATTTTATTTAAATCTGTAAATGTAAAAAGTTACATTTTAAAGCATTTAATAAAACTAGGACATTCATGTACTATTCATGAAATATGTTTCTTATCATTTAATTCACTGTTGGTTACATTTTGATTACAATTTAAAATCTGGCTTCTATTTTCATAGGTGAACATGCTTGTAAATTGTCCTTCAATAAAATGTAGCTGTTCCAAATCCCAGACAGTTTCCTCTCTCTTTTGTCAAGAGTGGAGAACCCCTTGGTTAATGGTTCTCATATATGGAGAAAATAAAGTGTACACTTAATTTTTAAATTCGTTTTTGACTTTATTTATGATGAAATTATCTGAAGGGAGTGATCATTATTTTTTACTAATTGTTATTATTTTTTAACTTTTTAAGTTTTCCTAAAATTTAAAAATATTTTTCTCATTTTAATTGAGATACAGTTGACATGTATAACATTAAATAAGTGAGATACAGTTGACATGTATAACATTAAATAAGTTTAAGTTTTCTTTGTAAATCAGGCACAGTGGAAAATTAACAGCAATAGCTAATAATAAAGTAGAACTAGTATAACAATGTACTGTGACTAAAATTCTCTAAATATTGTTTCTCTCTAAAAATATCTTTTGAACTGTTAATTTCTGAAATTTTCCATTTAACATTTCAGACCTCAGCTGAGAGCATATAACTGAAGCCAGGGACAGTGAAACCAATATAGTAATGCTGTGCATTACATTCCAGGAGCTTTTTATCTTATAAGTGGACATTTATTTGTGCCTTTTGGTCACTGTCACCACCTTTACCTCCTCCCCAACCCCAGTCAGGCAACCTGCAATCCAATCACTATTTCTGAGATTTTTTTTTTTAGATTTTATGTATAAGTCAAGTCGCATATTATGTGTCTTTACCTGCCTGACTTCACTTAGCATAATGCCTCCAAGGTCCTTTCAGGTGCTGCAAACAGCAGGATTTCCTTCTTTTTATTGCTCAATAGTATTATAAATATTTATACATGGTATTCAGTAGTATACTATATATAGTAATATTCTACTGTATACTATGTGTACAGCATTACATATATATAGTATTTCATATATGAAAATATTTATATATATGATATCCTATATATATACTATTCCATATACAAACACATGGAATTTTTTGTGTGTGCGTGTGTATAATTCCATTCAGGGTGGGGCAGATGTAGGTTTATAGTTGGGGTAAGCAAAACACACAGTTCATAAAGCCATTTCAATAATCATAACCTGCAAATTTATTTATACAAACAACTGCAAACCAACTTACGTCCCACTCTGTGTATATATGGAAATTTAAAATCTGGCACTGACTTCTGGCCAAGATGGAGGCGTAGATGGAAACACTGTGCCTTCTCACACAACCAAGTTTAAAGACGACAAAGTTTTAGTAACGAAAACACAGAGAATTGAACTGTACAGAAGTCCAACAACAAACCCTTCAGTCAGACCTGTAAGAGGGGCAGAGTCAACGGCTGGTGGAGCGGGGTCGGGCAGGAAAAAGCAGGAATGACCCAGGAGCTCAGGTGGCAATTGGCGGATCCCAGGCGTGGGGTGGCAAGGGCGAACCAGTGAGGTCACAAGGCGGCTGGCTGACCCTGGTCACACATTCACGTGCAGATAAACCAAGTGAAGAAGTGAGCAGTAAGACAGACCGCTCAGGCTAGGGCCCCAGTGATGGGAACTAAAGCCTAAAAGCACCAATTGGAAAAACTTTCGAGGTCGAGGTGCTGGAAGAAGCTCCCAGAGAGTTCACTGCAGAGATCCACAAGGTCCTGGAGGGTGCACAAGCACACACACCCGAAATCAGCACCAGAAGGGCCCAATTTGTTTGTGGGAAGCGGCAGAGGGGACCAAAATCCAAGAGAGAGCAGAATAAACGCCACTGCCCCTCTCTGATACCTCCCCCACATACAGCATCACAACCCAGCAACTGGGTTAACCAGCCCTGGTGAACACCTAAAGCTCCACCCCTCATACATAATAGGCATGGCCTGATCAAAAAATTATGGCTCAAGAAGAACAGCTCAAAGCCCCAGAGCCTATAACTTTTAAGTGACGAAGACATAGCCAACCTATCAGATGCACAGTTCAAAACATTGGTGCTCAGGATGCTCACAGAAATGGTTGATTTTAGTCACAAATTAGAGGAACAAATGAAGGCTAAATTAATTGAAATGAATAGAATTGCACAGGAAACCAATAGTGTTGGAAAGGAAACTGAGACTCAAATCAAGGGAGTGGAGGAGAAGGAAGAAAAAAATGACCAAACGGAAAAGAGTGAAGAAGCAAGAATTCAAAGAAATGAGGAGAGGCTTTTTTGGTATCTCCAGGATATCTTTAAACGCTCCAACACCCGAATTATAGGGGTACCAGAAGGGGGAAAGGCACAGCCACCAGTGGAAAACATATTTGAACAAATAATAAAGGAGAATTTCCCCACTCTGGCAAAGGAAATAGACTTCCAGTAAGTCCAGGAAGCTCAGAGAGTCCCAAAGAAGTTGGACCCAAGAAGGAACACACCAAGGCACATCATCATTACATTAGCCAAAATTAAAATGAAGGAGAGAATCCTAGAAGCAGCAAGAGCTAAGGGGACAGTCACCTACAAAGGAGTTCCCATCAGACTGTCAGCAGATTTCTCAAAGGAGACCTTACAGGCAAGAAGGGGCTGGAAAGAGGTATTCAAGTCATGAAATCCAAAGACCTACAACCAAGGTTGCTCTATCCAGCAAAACTTTCACTTAGAATGGAAGAACAGATAAAGTGCTTCTCAGATAAGATCAAATTCAAGTTCATCATCACCAAGCCCTTATTATATGAAATGTTAAAGGGACTTATTGAAGAAAAAGAAGTTAAAGAAACATGAACAGTGAAAGGACAACAAACTCACAGTTGTTAACAATCACACCTAAAACAAAAGCAAACTAAAAGGACAGCTAGATCAGGAGTGGAAACATAGAAATGAAGATCTCAAGGAGGGTTAGCAACAGGGAAGCGGGAGAAGGAGAATGGGGGAGAAGGTACAGAAAATAAGTAGCATAGACAGTAGATAGAAAACAGATGGGGGGGGGCAAGAATAGCATGGGAAATATAGAATCTAAAGAACTTGAGACATATGGACATAAACTAAAGGGGGGGTAATGGTGGGGACGGGGGCTAGGGTGGAGGGGAATGAAGGGGGGAATAGAACAACTGTAACAGCATAATCAATAAAAAAATTTAAAAATTTTTTCAAAGAAATGAAAGACTGGAAAACAACAGCTGTAACTTATTCTACATTATGGTGTGTTCCTTTCCCTACTGTGTTTATAAAACACAGGGTATCATCCACAAAAAGATTGATGGGATTTGCAGAATCAAAAATTCTATTCCCTGTCACTGTTAACGTGCTCTCAGTTTCCATATGTATGTCTGTGGGAATAAAATGTTAACATTCTTTGAGGTATCCTTTCTCCTTACCTGCTTAGGACGTTTCTGTTATTCTTTGTTACAGAAACTGCCATGAATGTTCATGACAGTTCTTTGTGCCTATTGGCCTGTGTTCTTTCTGAAAAATTCTAGAATTGAATTAAAACTCAAGATCTACTGTTTACTGAAAGTTTCACACAATATTCTTATAACAGATAAAAAATAATCTTTTTCTCAGATCACTGTTGGTGGGATTGTAGACTGCTACAACCATTATGGAAAACAGTATGGAATTTTCTCAGAAAAATAAAAATTGACCTGCCTTTTGACCCAGCAATTCCACTGCTAGGATTATACCCCAAGAATCCTAAAACATCAATTTCAAAGAACCTATGCACCACAATGTTCATAGCAGCACAATTTACAATAGCCAAGAGTTGGAAGCAACCTAGGTGCCCATCAGTAAATGAATGGATCCAAAAATTGTGGTACATATACACCATGGAATTTTATGCAGCAGAGAGAAAGAAGGAACTACTACCTTTTGCAACAACATGGATGGAACTGGAAAGCATTATGCTGAGTGAAATAGGCCAGGCATTGAAGGACAAATACCATATGATCTCACCTTTGACAGGAAGCTAAAGAATAAAACAAACAAGCAAACAGAATAAAAACAAAGACACTGAAATAGAGAACAAGTGGGCAGCGACCAGAGGGGAGAGGGAAGGGAACTTAAGGGGAAAAAGGGGGAGGGATTTTGAGGAACAAGTATGAAAGACACAGAGATGAGGACTGGGGGGGGGGGGAATGGGAGGGAGGGGGGAGACCGGGCGGGGGAAAAAAAAAAAAAAGAAAAGCCACTGTAAACATGAAAAAAAAAAAAAACTCTTGGAATGATACCTAGTATATAAGACATTATCAAAAAGGACTGGTTGCTATGCTTCCTGTTTTATGAGAACTGTAAATTCTATGAAACTCTCTTAGCTGTAAGTCATCTATGAATTTCTGTTTTCCTTTTCATCCTATTCAGAAGTATGGCATGTGGACCAGAGACACTGGCAACATTAGTAAAAAGTGAGCTTGTTGAAGAAACAAAGGCCCCATCCTAGAACTCCTGAATCAGAATCTGCATTTTTATAAAACTGCAGTTATTCCCTTCCCTTCTCTCTCAAAATAAATAAAATCTTAAAAAAAAATAAATAAAGCCCTGGCTGGTATAGCTCAGTGGGTTGAGTGTGGGCCTGAGAACCAAAGGGTAACTGGTTCTATTCCCAGTCAGGGCACATGCCTGGGTTGCAGGCCAGGTCCCCAGGAGGGGGGCGTGCAGAGAGGCAACCACACATTGATGTTTCTCTCTTTCTCCTTCTCTTCCCCTCCCTCTAAAAATAAATAAATAAAATCTTAAAAAAAAAAACACTGCAGTTTTCTGGTGTCTGTGTTAAACTTGAACTCCTTACGTTTCCAGCTTATCAAGTCTTCTCCACCTAAAAAATATACACAATTGATTCTGAATGATAGTTATAACTCTTAGAAAGCCATGTGCCTGTGTTGATGCCTTCATTTTCTTTTCTTTTTTTTATTTTTAACTTTCAGAGAGGAGAGGAGTGGGAGAAATAGAGGGAAATAAGCATCGATTGGTTGCCTCTCACATACCTCTCAACTGGAGACCGAACCTGCAACCTAGGCATGTGCCCTGACCAAAAATTGAACCAGCAACCTTTTGCTTTGCAGAATGACACTGAACCATCTGAGCCACAGTGGTCTGGACGATGCCTTCATTTTAAAGTTCACTTTCCTGAAAAGTACTGTCTCTGCACTGGATTTGTGGAGATGTGACATCCTCCTTTCTCAGTGTTAGAAAATACATTACAGAATATTACTGGGTCACAGTGATCTTACTAGATGATTCAGGATACTCTCCTAGGTTAAGACCACTGTTTTCAAGTTGGGTTACATTATGAATTCTGTTGGTGGCCCCTTGGTAAATGTCTTTTCTTTCAGAGATCATTGACCTTCAGGGATGTGGCTGTAGATTTCTCTTGGGAGGAGTGGGAATGCCTGGACCCAGCTCAGCAGAAATTGTACATGGATGTGATGATGGAGAACTACAGGAACCTGGTCTCCCTGGGTGAGGATGACTTCCTTTCAGAGTTCCAACTCCACCCACAGGGTTTGTTTCTTTCATGAGGAGATCATCTCCTTGTAGCTTTTGCTTTGTACGACAGACTTTTAGATCCCTGGTCTCAAGGAAGAAATGGGGATTTTATGGTGTAGAAAAGAAAAGCTTGGGGGTAAATTGGGACAACTGTCACTAAACAACAATAAAAAAAGAAAAAAACATTAAAAAAAAAGAAAAAGAAAAGCTTTGTGATATATGTGAAATAGAATCCTATTGTCCGAAGACCTTACATGTTGTCTAGAATTAATGTGCTAACAGAAAACAGTATTTTGGAAAATATTCTACACTATTTTCTAGAATATTCTAATATTATACCATGTCTTCTCACCTAAGATTGGAAATGGGAGCATCTCTATCAAAACTCATGTTCTTATTTCTGATAAACAGGTCTTGTTGTCTCTAAGCCAGTCCTGGTCACCTTTTTGGAGAAAATAAAGGAGCACTGGGATGTGAAGGGAAAAAAGACGTGTGCCTACCCAGGTAGGCGGGAATGGGGAAGCTGGCAACACAGGTGAGAGGTCCAGAGGTCATGAAGGAAGCTAGACCCTAAAGTGTGGGAAGCTGTGTTTCAGTGGGAAAGATTTTGAGAAGCTCAGGTTTATTTCTGTTGCTGTCATAGAAATAGGGATAGCTCATTTGCAGAATGTCCCTCATAGTTATATTCTCTCAGGATTTTGCTCTGCTCTAGTGACCTCCATCATCACATTAGCTGTGGGGGCAAAGACCCCACCTTCGTCTGTGAGGGCTGCCCTGGTCTGGCTCCTCTTCCATTGCTTTGGGGATCTAGGAATATCTGTGCATGATGCTGAGGAATTGTATTTAAGCCTTTTTGTTTGTTTGTTTGTTTGTTCATTTCCTTTCCTTTTGGTCTCATGTAGAGAGTTTATGTAGGAAGAGGTTGAGATCCTGGAATTAGGTGCAGAAATCCCAGGAACCCTGGAGACAGGTGTCATGTTTTCTGATTTATTATTTCTAATCCTGCGGAGGCTTCACACAAGACCCTACAAAGTTTAGACTCAGTGATTTCATCACAGCACAGTGAACATCAGGAAATCTAATTATGTCTTTTACTTCAAAATGCCCTTTTGCTTTTTTGCTTTGTATTAAGTAACATAAATTTCTGGTCTGTATTCACAGTTTATTCATGTTAGAATAGTGGACTGTGTTACTCATAGAATTATTCAATAAGTTACTGCCATAGATGTCCTTAGAACAGTGCCCACCATGTAGGAAAATCTCTATTGTTACCTTATTTCTTTATCATTTTATCATTCTCTCTTGTTTGGACTGTGCCTGATGTGTTTTCACTTTGTAATTAGATCTTTGTTGAATTTCTGCCTTTACGTTCAGAAGTGCTGATAAAATATGCTCCAATGTTCTCCTTTGGTAAGAAGTGAGTTGCAGAATTAGACATTTCATATTTAGAAAAATGATTTTTTCCTCAATTTTAGTTCAGGCAAAAGCAATGATTAGGTTTTTCATTTGTTTTCCTCAGCATGTCTTTTTTCTTTTTAGCTTGCATTTTTTAAAAATTTAATCTTTATTCAGCCCTGGCTGGTGTAGCTCAGTGGATTGAGCATGGACCTCAGACCCAAACAACCATGGTTCGATTCCCAGTCAGGGCACATGCCTGGGTTGCAGGCCAGTTCCTGGCAGGGGACACACCAGAGGCAACCATACATTGATATTTCTCTCCCTCTCTCCTTCCCTTCCCCTCTAACAATAAATAAAACTTTAAAAAGTGTTAAAAAATTTAATCTTTATTCAACATGTCTCTTAATGATAGTATACTCAGTCTCAAATGTTTAATCATCAGTTATTCTCTGCATATTTTACGTTTGTTATGATTCTTTTATTTAGAAATGGAGGCTTTTTTTTCTGTAGGATGGATTGCAGCCTACACATTTTGTGTAAGCTGAAAATAGCAGTGTGCAGATGATTTTTTGAGTTGTAGGTTTGAAACCTGTATGCTTTTGTGAACCAATGTCACTTCAAGAAATTTTTTAATATTTATTTTTAGAGAGAGGGGAAGGGAGGGAGGGAAACATCAACTTGTGAGAGAAACATAGATCAGTTGGCTCCTGCATGCCTCCAATTAGGGACCTGACCCTCATGTGCCCTGACTGGGAATCATATTGACGAGCTTTCAGTTCACAGGCTGGCATTTGATCCAAGGAGCCACAGCAGCCAGGGCACACCAATAAATTTTTTAAAAAGAATAGCTGAAATATATTAACAGCTGAAAAACTTCTTGGATTATTTAAATTTCTTTATAAAATGATTTTAGAGCTATTTTTGAATGATTTTACTGCATTTTCTGTGAAATTTTTGTGCTGTATATGACATATTGCCAGTGATGCACAATGTTTGCTGTTCACGGAGTTACACTCACAGTTGGAACTTATAGTTTATAGAACCATTCATTTTTAATAGTACTTGTATATACTGATAGTATTTAGATTTCTGGATTTAAATTTTCTATTCTTGTTTTCCAATTCCATAACAATGTATTTGTTTTTTTAATGGTAGTTTCCTGAAATTTGTTTTGCATTTTTGGTTTTTATCTATATATCACAAAGTGAATGATACTCAGTACACTTAAGACATTATGGGACTTAATTCAAATATGAATCAGCTATATGTCTGTTGCCATTGCAATGATGTACATGTTTTTCTGGTTAGCTTTACCTTGGTTAATGGTTAGTGTAGCTACATAGGTATGAAAATAGTCTTAATCTTATATCTGTTTATGAATTTATATTCTCTTTATGAGAGGGAAAGACTTTTTAAAATTGAAGGTAGTTTTTGAAATGTTGTATAACTCTCTTTTAGATGTTTCTCTCCCTCTGTTTATTTTTAATTTTGTTAAAAACCATGCAAGAAAAAATATACCATCTTAACCATCTGTAACTATAGAGCCCAGTGGTATTAAGTATACTATTTTTGTTGTGCATCCAATCTCTGGAAGCATCCATCTTGCAGAAATGTCACAATATCTATTTTAAACAATCACTTCTTCATTTGTCTTCAAACCAAGGCCCAGGTAACTACTTTCTTTTTCTTTCTACAAGGTGGGCTCCATTAGATTACTTACCTAAGTGGAATCCTATAGTGTCTTTCTCTTCATTTAAAAAAAGCCCCCTCCTTCCCCTCTAAAGATAAATAAATAAAATTAAAAAAAAAAAAAGCCCTCAAGGTTTGTCTTTGTGCTGTCAGGTGATATGATGTGCTTCTCTTTCCTGACAGAGTTGTATTAAATTGTATGTGTATATTTTCTTCATCTATTTATCCATAGACATTGGGGTTGCTTCCACCTATTAGAGTCTTTGGTGAATAACATAGTGGACACAGCTGTGCACATGTCATTCACAGATCCTCTGTTGAATTTTTTTTGCTATACACCTAGAAGTCAGATGGCTGCATCACAGGATAATTCTATTTTAAATTTTTTGACAAACACCACCACATTTTTCATACTGTTTGCACCAATTTATTTTTCATTCAACCACTGTATAGGGTCCAGTTTCTCTACATTTTTTTGAAACATTTGATATTTTTTGTTACTTTAAATCTGGTCATTTTTATTGTTGTGAAATTATATATATACACCTATATATATACACACACACACATACACACACACATATGTATGATGTGTGTTTTAATGGAGGATACAAACATTTATTCCTCAGGTGTGCATAAGAAATCATAGGAATGATGCATAGATATGACAGCAAATACTTCAGAGAAGAAGGTCTGTGAATGACTTTCTTAAAGAGGATTTTAGGGCCCTCTAATGTTTGACTTAATACATTAGTGAGTTTAAATCTTAATACTATGAACTGAAAAACATGGTTAATAATTTGCCCTGAAAAAAACTTAAGTTATAAAATTAACTTTAGTTTAAATGCAGTAACATGGAAGTTATATTTGCTCTAGGTATTGTTTCTGAGATAAACAAATAATGTAAAACACATTTTGAAGTGAAGTTGAGATAAATTTGGTGACATTTAATTTATTCCAAATTGTACAGCACCATTATTAAAATGGTTTTTTCCTTTTCAGTTTTATATCTTTACCATTGTAAATAATGCTGCAATGGATATAAAGGGTACATATATCTTTTTGAATTCATGTCCTCATATTCTCTGAAAAAAATCCCCAGAATGGAATGGCCCTGTTACCTGGTACTTGCTTGTAAATTTTTGAGGCACTTCCAACTTGTTTTTTTAACTGTGGCTGCACCCATTTATTTATAATCTCACCAACAGTGCATTAGCATTCTCATTTCTCTACAACATTAATAATATCTGTTATTTGTGGATTTCTTAATGATTGTCATCCTGACAGGTGTGTGGTGGTATTTCACTGTGACATCAACTTGCATTCTTCGTTCAACGAAGAATGGTGTTGAACATCTTTTCATCTATCTATTGGTCATCTTCATGTCCTCCTTGGAGAAATGTCTGTTCAGGTCCTCTGCCCAGTTTTCAATTGGATTGTTTGGGCTTTTCTGGTGTTAATTTGTGTGAATTTTTTATATTTTGCATATTGAGCTTATAAGCTCAATGTATCATTGGTGATTATCTTACCCTATTCAGTAGGTTGTTTTTGGGTTTTTTTTGCTGTACAAAAAAATTTAGTTTTAGTCTCACTTGTTCATTTTTTTCTTGTTTGTTATGCCTAGGGAGACATATCTAAAAAAATACTTCTAAGAGTGATGACAGTTTATTGACTACCTTTTCTTCCAGTGTTTTCATAATTTCAGGTGTTATATTTTAATTTTTAATCATTTTTTTAGTTTGTTTTGGTACATGGCATCAGAAAGTGGTTGTTTTAAATTTTTTGCATGTATTTGGTTTTTCTTGCACCATGTTTTGAAGACTCTGTCTTTCCCCATTGTGTATTACTACATTTTTTCTTATAGATTAGTTAATCATATACCTTTTAGCATTTTAAAAATTGTGTTACTTCTTTTTTCATTTTTGGGGGTAAAATTTCTTTATATATTCTGGATATTAACCACTCATTAGATATATGTTTTGTAGAAATTTTCTCCTATTTCCTAGGTTCTTTACTTTACTGATTATCTGCTTAAATGTGTTGGAGTTTTTATATTTCATTCAATCCCATGTGCCTTTATTAGCTTTATCTTTGCTTTTTGTTTTATAAGTAAAAAAATTAAATGTCATAAAATCTTTTCCGTAACTTTTATTAGAGTAGACTGAGTCATTAGCTTTATGTTTAAATGTTTTATCCATTTTGATTTAATATTTGTCTATGGTGTTACATAATGGTTCAACTTCACTCATTCTTTTACATGTGGACATCCAATTTCCTCAATACTATTATTTATGAAAATATCCTTTTTTTATATTGTGGTACAAGAAGGCTTGTTGAAGGTCATTTGACCTTGCCCAGAAGTTGTATGTAGGCTCCATGTCCACCATGCTTCGTTATTTACCTCCATATTAATAATGTCTATATTACACTTTTTGATAACAGCAGCTTGGAATATGGCTTAAAATCTGAAAGCATAGTGCTTACAACTTTACACTTCCTTTTCATGATTGTTTTGGTTATCTGGTGTCCTGTGACATTCCATATTAATTTTAGGATGAGCTTTTCAATTTTTTCACCAAAAGTGTCATTGGGATTTTGATAGAAATGCTTTGGATGTTTAGATCACCTTTGGTACTACTGACAGCTTATGCTGTTAGCATTCCAATATAACATCATGGCATGGTTCAAGAACTCAATAGTTCATTTATTGAGTTCTTTAATTATACTCAGCAATATTTGCTACTTCTTATCATACAAGTTGTACATCTCCTTCATTAAGCAAACACCTAAGCATTATATTGTTATGTTATTGTTCATGTAATTACATTCTTAATTTGTTTTTGTATTAATTTTTGTTTATAGTAACAAGGAACACAACTAATTTTATGGTTTTACATCTTTTGAGAAATGATTTTTTTTTTAGAAACATAGGATCTGTGATTTCCAATACACAATTCTGTCACCTGTTAATATATAATTTTTTCAAAGATTTTATTTATTTTTCAGAGAGAGGGGAAGGAAAGGAGAAAGAGAGGGAGAGAAACATCAATGTGTGGTTGCCTCTCCCATGCCCCCAACTGGGGACTTGGCCTGGAACCCAGGCATCTACCCTGGTCGGGAATTGAACCAGTGACACTTCGGTTCACAGGCCCATGCTCAATCCACTAAGCTACACCAGCTAGGGCTTAACAGATCATTTTATTTCTTTTCCATTTTTGTTGTTACCATGGGAGGTACTTAAAACATTTTAAAGTTATAACATTATGGTTTAAACTGATTGTTCAATTGCATACAAAAACTCTATTATTTCCCTTGGCTGGTGTAGCTCAGTGGATTGAGTGTGGGCCTGTGAACCAAAAGGGTAGGTGGTTTGATTCACAGTCAGGGCACATGCCTGGGTTGTGGGCCAGGTCCCCAGTAGGGGGCATGGGAGAGACAACCACACATTGATGCTTTTCTCCCTCTCTTTCTCCCTCCCTTCCCCTCTAAAAATAAATAAAATCTTTAAAAAGTGCTTGCTTTGGCAGCACATATACTAAAATTGGAATGATACAGAGAAGATTAGCATGGCCCCTGCTCAAGGATGACACACAAATTCATGAAGCGTTCCATATTTTTGCATGGATGGAACTGGAAAGCATTATGTTGAGTGAAATAGGCCAGGTGGTGAAAGACAAATACCATATGATCTCACCTTTAACAGGAAGCTAAACAACAAAATAAACAAGCAAGCAAAATAAAAGCAAAGACACTGAGCCCTGGCTGATGTAGCTCAATGGATTGAGCCCGGGCCTGTGAACCACAGGATCGAGGTTTGATTCCCAGTCAGGGCACATGCCTGGGTTGCAGGCCAGTTCCCAGTAGGGGACCCATGAGAGGCAACCATACATTGATATTCTCTCCCTGTCTCCTTCCCTTCGCCTCTAAAGATAAATAAATAAAATCTTTAAAAAAAAAAAAAAAAAGCAAAGACACTGAAATAGAGAACAGGGGGACAGCGACAAGAGAGGAGGGGGAGGGAATTTCAGGGGAAAAAGGGGAGGGATTTACAGGAACTAGTATAAAAAGACACATGGACAACAACTAAGGGGGGTGGAACTGGGAGGGGGTGGTGGGGAGCACAGGGGGTGGGCTGATATGGCAGTAAAAGACAGAAAACTGTACTTGAAAAATAATTAAATAAAAAATTTTAAAAAATCTTTTTAAAAAAAGCTCTATTACTTGCCATTTCCACCCATTGTGTCACTTATGTTATTGATATCTCATATTTTTTATGCTGTATACTTGCAACACAGATTAAGGATTTTATTGCTTTTATTTTTAAAGTTCTATAGGAGAAGTCAAAGTGATTTGTGTTTCATGATTATACTGTGCATTTTTGTATTGGTGTATATACATGTACAACAAATCTTTGTATGTTCATATGTTTTAGTGTTGTTTGGAAAGTTTTAATTACATCTGGAAGTATTACTCAGTTTTCATAGGAAAGATTCAGTGGTGAGAGAGTTTTCAGTGTTTTTGAGGTAGAAAAGTTTTTCTTTCTCCATTGTTGATGTGTCTTGCTTGATAGTTTTTGTTCTTTTATTGGTTCAGTATTTTATTTCATAGTCTTCTTTTTCATAAGGTTTCTGCTGAGAAAACCACTGAAAATCTTAGAGGAGCTGTATTTCCCATGTCAAATTTTTTATGCATGAGGGGAGTTGTCTGGGATTTATATTTTCCTAATGTCTTCTCTTGACATTTTTACATTTATCTTATTTAGCATTCAGTGAGCTGTTTGAATTTGTATGTCTCTCTCTTTCTACAGATTGCAGAATCTTAAACTATTAATTTTGCATACAAGTTATGTACTCCATTTCACTGTTCTGTCTTTATGGGGTTCACTTAATGTGCAAAGAGGTCAATTTGTTGGTTTCCCATGAGTCCCTTAGGCTTTCAATGTTCCATATTTTTGTTGGCTTCCTTGTATTGAAATTTTTAATGAAGTATATACAAGCTGTTTGATTCTTCAAATTGGTCACATCTTTTGTGTTGAGTGTACTGTATTTTAAATTTTTGATACTCTTTTTCAGCTTCCCATTTCTGTTTGGTTTAATTTTACATTTTTCTCTCTTTGCACTTTCATTTTTGTCATGCATAGTTTTTTAATATTATGTAGTTGTCAGTTTTATCTATCTTCCCATTTTTATATGGTTATTTTCAATATTTTTTAGGTAATATATTTTTATTAATTTGGTATGAATTTCTGTACATTTATATTGTTTTTCTGATTGGAAACTAACTGTTTTTCATTTTCATATCTTTGTTGAGATTCAGCTTGTAAATATTCACGCTTTATGAACTTGTGTTCTATGGGAATAAACTGTGGTGGGGATGCATGTTCTTTGTTCTTCTGTGCAAGTTCCAAGTTTAAAATGCTTTTTGTTTCTTATTCAGATCCCATGGTGTCTTTCTGTTCTTGTTATCTGTCTTCAGTCTTACAGAGATGTGGTGTTTGAACACTCGTTTTTTTAGTTGCTACTGTAATTCATTCCATTTTTTAGCACTCCCGTGTGGTGCAAAACAGAAACACATTCTTCAAGAAGCTGCAAAACAGTGAGATCACTGAACACACTGTACTGTTATCTTTCTCTCTTCAGAGAAGAAACTGGGAATTGGGAGTTTTTTTACAATATTGCCAGTGTGTGCCATGGGGGTTGAGAAGTATTGTTGGCAATTATAACCAAATTTTTGTCTCACTTTGGTATGATTTTTTCATTGTATTTTTTGTGGCCTTGCTTTGAACTCTTCACTTGCTTTTGGAATACGCAGAAATGTAATTTTGTGTATAATTGCTGGTAAGTTCCAAGTACAATCACTTGAATGTCCTACCTGTGAAAACTGATTTCCTATCTTTCAGCTATGTCATCTGAAGACAACCAGGCCTTGTTACAAAAGCCAGGAATAGAAGATTTATTCTCTAAAATAATACTGGTAAGAGGCTTTGATAATGTACATCTAATGCAAGCCTTTGAATTTGAGGAATAGTGTGACAAAAAGAAAGGACGTTAACATGAGCAGAACTAAACTGGGACAATTATTCATAATAAAATTATTGTTATCTAAAGAAGTCAAAGATATTACACATTTGGAAAAACTCTCATATTAAGTCAGTTACCTTTGCAGATCAGTGAGTTTCTGTGTGAAGACTGAAAAAAAAGTTTCTAAAGATGTATATCTTGGAAAGGAAAATATGGGAAATCTTGGAACTCATATATAATTTATGGTGTGAATAACCATTTGTATTGTTTAAAATGTAGGATAGGATTAAAATTAAAATGTGATGAAACTGGCAATCCCTTTATCAGGAAATCACTGTTTTCCATCATTAAATGTTTTTTTATTCCAATAGCTATAATTTTTATAAACATGGAGTGTTTTTTAATACAACCATCATGGTTTAATAGGTATCAAAGAATAGTTACTTGGAAATAAGTGTACATGTTTAATCAAATTATAGCTGTCACTAAAGCCCTTTCTATCTTCAATGTTACCAGAGTACGTATAATGGAGCCAGAAGTTATCAGTTCAATGAACATTGGAAACACTTTAACCAAGAGTCCAATCCTAATAAACATCAGAAAATTCAGCTTCCAGAGAACCATTGTAAAGTCTTTGACCAAAAGTCAAATCACAATACTCATCAGATTATTTCTATTGTAGTAGAAAAGACAAGCAAACAAAGTAAATACATCAAATCTTTGAAGCAATCTTCAAATCATACTGAAGACAATATTCATCCTGGGGATGAAGCTTACAAATGTAATCAGTATGGGAGAATCTTCAGTAAAATATTCAATCTAAATAGACATAAGAAAAGCTATACTAGTGGTAAACTTTACAAGTGTAAAGAATGTGGTAAAACATTTAATTGGCCTTCGGGTCTTACAATACATCAGATAATTCATACTGGGGAGAAGCCTTACAAATGCAGGGAATGTGGCAAAGACTTTTGCCCATCTTCCAAACTTACTAAATATCAGAGAATTCAAACCAGAGCAAAGTCTTACAAATGTTTAGAATGTGGCAAAACCTTTATCTGCTACTCAGAGCTTACTAAACATCAGAGAATACACATAGGAAAGAAACCATACAAATGCAGAGAATGTAGCAAAGCCTCTATCCAGTCTCCAGACTTTACTGGACATCAGAGAATTCATACTGGAGAGAAGCTTTATAAATATGGAGAATGTGGCAAAACTTTTAGCCAGCGTTCAGCACTTACTCAGCATAAAAAATTTCATACTAGAAAGAAGCCTTATAAATGCAGAGAACATGGCAAAGGTTTCAGCCAGTCCTCAACCCTTACTGACCATCAGAGAAACCATACTGGACAAAAGCCTTACAAATGTGGGCAATGTGGCAAAGCCTTTAAATGCTCCTCAAAACTTACTCATCATCAGATTATTCATAGTGGAGAGAAACCTTACAGATGTAAGGAGTGTGGAAAATCCTTTTTGTGGTATTCATACCTTACTAAACATCAAATATCGCATTCTCGAGAGAAGCCTTACAAATGTAGAGAATGTGGGAAAGACTTCAAGTGGCATTCATATCTCACTGAACATGAGAGAAGAGTTCATACTGGGGAGAAACGTTACAAATGTAGACAATGTGGTAGATCCTTTATCTATCACTCAGAACTTACTCACCATCAAAAAATTCATATTGGAGAGAAGCCTTATATATGTAGTGTATGTGCCAAAGCCTTTAATCAGCAGTGGTGTCTTATTCGACATGAGAAAATTCATACTGGAGAGAAACCTTACAAATGTATAGAATGTGGCAAAGCCTTTAGTGCATCCTCAACCCTTTCTGAACATCAGAGAATTCATACTGGAGAGAAGCCTTTTAAGTGTAGAAAATGTGCCAAAGCCTTTAATCAGCGGTGGTGTCTTACTCGACATGAAAGAATTCATACTGGAGAGAAACCTTACAAATGTACAGAATGTGGCAAAGCCTTTAGAGCTTCCTCAACCCTTACAGAACATCACAGAATTCATACTGGAGAGAAGCCTTATAAATGTAGAGAATGCGACAAAACCTTTACCCAGCGTTCCAAACTTACTGTACATCAGAGAGTTCATACTGGAGAAAAACCTTACAGTTGTAAGGAGTGTGGTAAAACCTTTGCTTGAGAATGAATCTTACTAAAAATTAGAAATTCATTCTTGACAGAAGCCTTACAAATATAAAGAATGCGGCAAACCCTTTAATTACCACTGGCCTCTTACACAACACCAGAGAATTTACACACTGTATGTGCCAGAGCCTTTAATCAGCAGTGGAATCTTACCTAGCAAGAGTGAATTCATACTGGAGAGAAACCTTACAAATATAGAGAATGTGGCAAAGCCTTTAACCTGTGCTCAAAACTTGTTTAACATTGCAGAATTTGTACTGGAGAGTAATAATAATAATAATGTAAATAATTTGGCAAAATATTTAACCTTTGTTCAAGCCTCACTGAGCATCAGAAAAATAAGCCTTATAAATATAACACATGCTCCCAAGTCTTTATCCTCATAGTTTTCTCAATATTTGATCATTAATACTGCATAAAAGACTAACAAATAAAAATGATGTGGCCAAAGCTTTACCCGGGATGCAGACCTTACTAAACATCAGAATTCACACTAAAGAAAAATAATACAATTGTGAAGGTGAAAAGACTTTATTCAGCATTCGTAACTTACTCAACACATGAAAATTCATACTAGAGAGAAACATTAAAAGTAAAGAATGTGGAACACCTTATGGCTGGACTTACAACCTTGCTCAATATCAGGGATTGCACATTGGGGAAGAATTCTATATTAATAATAAAAGATGAAAGACTTGTCCACATTATACACTTCACAAAAGCCCAAACAACTTAGGCCTTAAAGTGACTTGAAAGATGTAAATAATTTGTGGAAGTTTGTAATTGAATAGGAATTTTTAAAATCCCACTGAATTCACAGAAGGAAGGTCAACAATAGGTTTTAGGTATTACTGTAAATCAGAATACTTATACAGAATAATCCAATTTTTAAAGACTCAGATAAGGACTTTTATTTGCTTCAGAGTATCAAGGGGATGGGTGTTTCTATATGTATAATTACTTACAGTATATTCTATTTTATATTGACAGTATATTAGATATTTTGAAAAGAAGTATTTATGTGATTCCACTTTCATAATGTTACTATGTTTTTATTCCTAGTGTGTATGATGAGTTTGAGTGTTGTTTTACAGATCTGTGAACTCTTGTATATTAGGTGAGTTTCACTCATATCTCCTTTTCTATGAAAGATTGAAGACATAATGCACAATGTATGAAAAAATCTAAATGGAGATGTTGTTTGTGGTTGAACTTAGAACATTGTATGTCACCACGAAGAGCATCTTTTTTGCATCGGTGTGAGACTGTGGAGCATTATGAATTTTAAGTTCTTTTTCCAGTAACTCTTTCAGGAAAATATGGTGGCAGTTTATTAAAACCCTGATGTATCTTCATAGTAGCCATAGACAGATGTGACGATGTAGTTGAGATAAAAAAGTGATCAGGGATATCTGAAAAGGTATAGACAACTCATTTCTTTTTTTAACTATTCACCCAAGGATAAGTTTATTAATTTTACAGACAGAAGAAAAGAGGGGAGAGAGAGAATATCGATTGACTTCTAAAAGCATAAAATTATTGTTTCAATGTTTGCTAAATAACTAACCTCCATTCTGAAAACCATGAAAGTACAGCTGTCAGATTACTATATAGTAAGATCCAATCAAAAGACAGAGGGTAGCTGAAGGGATAGAACAAGACCTATAGATATGCTGTCCACAAGAGACCTACCTCAGATCAGAGTGAAAGTAATGACATGGAAACAGTTCATCTCTACCCCTGGGCTCTGAAGAACCTACTCTGTAGAATATTTTGCTCTAGTGAGCCATCTAAATTATGAACCGTGAACATACAATAGACATAAAGAATAATCATGCTCATAGTTAGCTGTGCCATGGTAAAGGTGACTTAATGGAGTCAACATGTAAACAGTATTTAGATACCCAGAAACTTCTTTTGGCAGGTGCTCATGCAGGTTAGAGCAGGCCTGATGGGTAATTCAAGTAAAGATGCTTTGCTTTTATCTGAACCACTCAATAGATGACTGCTTTACTTTCTTTTTAAAATTTGGAAATCCAGTGTTAAAAAAAAAAGAACTGTGCTGCCCTGTCCAGTGTGGCTCTGTTGACTGGTCATTGTCTGGAAAAGCTAACAGTCACCAGTTCAATTCCTGGTCAGGGAACATGTCTCAGTTGCAGGCGGTCTCTGGTCTGTCAGGGTACGTGGAAGAAGCAACCAATTGATGTTTCTTTGTCACACTGGTGTTTCTCTCCCTCTCTTTTGGCCTCCCTTCCCTTTCCCAGAAAATAAGTAAAATATAATCTTAAATAAAATGAAATAAAAATAAGCTTTATAACCTTGGCTGGTATGGCTCCTTATACTCAGTGGTTACGGGTTTGATTCTGGGTCCAGGCACTTGACTGGATTGCAAGTTTGATCCTTGATCAGGGTGCCTATGGCAGACAACAGATCAAAGTGTCTCTCTCACATTGATTTTCTCTTCCTCTCTCTAAAACAAATAAACATTTTTGTAAAAGTAGGTACTCTTTGAAGGAACATATAATGAATTTGAACTTACATTTCATTCAGATGTAATTGACATAACTATATTAAAATGTGAAAAGTGTATCTCAAAGGTATTCAAAATAATTTCTTTGAAGTGTTACAAAAAACACTTATTTTAACAATTTATAACATTTTAAAAGATGCTTTTCTTTTTAAGACAATGCTTACTGTCCTAAATGATCACATGCCTTAGCTGTCCACATCTCATGTCCCAGGTCATGTCCCTGTGAAAGTTTCTGGAGTATTGTTGATTCTTGGCCTCCCTGGTAAAAGGGGTATAGAAAGGACATGCTGCTGGGTGTCAGGATGAAACTGAATCCAGAGAGAGCTAGGAATTTCACATTCTAATTCTTAATCCATTCAGAGACTACTGGAGTTCTTGTTTAATAAAACTGCTTATATTAATTCTAATTGCAGAAATGTTCCTGGATCCAACCTCCTCCCCAATCCCAGTTCCCTCAAAGAAATCCCAGTTCTGGTTTTTGGGTTTAAGATGGCCTTGGAGTAAGAGGGAGCGGATTCTAGCTCCCGTACTCGTGAGTGAAAATCCTGGCAGATCTATAGAGAAGCAGCGCACTAATCCATCAGTTATCCAGCATTTGTGAAATTAAAAGAACAGAGACTCTGTTGGACGCTGAAACACCAGAAAGCGGCAGGTCAGTGGGGTTTTGGGGACCAGAGTAAAGACAAAGCAGCGGCGGGGGCTGGCGCCCCAGGCCAGGTGGCCCCGGTGCTGCATCTATGGCCGGGGTCCAGAACCATCGGTCTGAGACCAACACCAGAGAGGTCTACCACAGGAGCTTGGGCACCCAGTGGCTCCAGTGGCCACCATCGCAGGCCAGCAGCTCCCCCGCTTCCCGTATAAGCAAAACTGGACAACACCGGGCAGAGACCTGTCTGCTTGCCGGCTTGCATTTTTGGGGAGGGGTACAAAGACACAGGGCCCGGTTCAACTGCAGACTCTGTGATTGCAAGCTTGGGAGAATCCAGAGATGCACTGGCCTCACGGGTCTGGTTGGGGACTAAGCGGGAATGAGAGACAGGCTGTCCGGAGAGTTTTGTTTTGTTTTTTTATTGAAAGTGGACTGAGGTGTTCTCCTGCCAGGGCAGCTTGGCTTGCTTCCTATCCGGCCTTGCAGCGAGCCAGGGGGAAAGCAGAGGTATTTGGGGACTAGCCACACAATGGGAAGCGCCCTGCCGGTTACTCTGGGTCCCAGAAGGTCTGGTGGAAGCGGAGGCCTCTGAGCCACCACCAGGGGACTGGGAAGCCCGCTGCCGGTTACGCCAGTCCCAGAAGGACGAGCTCGCGGGCGCAGAGAGTTCGGAGAGGCGCCGCAGGACAAAGACACTCCCTGCCGGTTTCTTGCTCGCACGCATAGTCGGACTCTTGCGCGCACTAGCGCAGAGATCTTTGAGCCGGGGCTACTGGACCTAAAAGCGCCAGACGGTTTCTCCCGCGAGCAGGGGCGCAGAGAACTCTAGGCTGACACCACTAGGATCAGGAAGTGCATTGAGGCCTTCGCGGACCAGGAAGCGCAAGTTGCGCAGTCCCGGACTGTCAGGCGCCCACACCCCAATCTGGTAGCCTGGCTGGTGCTCCCAGCAAGTGTGCAGGCGCACACACCCCAGGCTGGTAGCCTGGCTGGTGCGTACACTTGCGCCGGCATCCCAGCACACAGACAGATCCTGCTACAACTAGAAAAACCAGTCTGGACAGTTTGAAACCAACAAGGGAAGGGTTTGTCTGTTGTTGTTGTTGTTATTGTTTATTTGGGTTTTTTTGCTATTTACTTGTTTGTTTTGGGTTTTTTTAAATTTTTTATGTTTTTTTTCCTTTTTTTAGTAACTTTTTTGTGCATTAGTTTAGTAACCTTATATACTTTTTAAATTTTATCACTGCTTTATCTTTCTATACTTTGTTCCTCTCCTTTCTTTTTCCCTGTTTTAGTCCTTCTCCCTTTCCTCTTAAACTCATTGCTTTCGCCTCCCCTCTCCTGCCCTTTTATTTGATTGCATGTTGTTTCATTTCCTTTTACCTGCAAGAGACACAAACAACTAGGAACTGTGAAAGGACCAGAATGGGACCCGAAGAGGGGGCATCTCAACAGTAGAGACAGAGAAACAAACTTCACCTTCCTATAGCAGAGAAGCCACGAGGAGATGCATATTTTTTTTCATTATTTTCACCTCTTATATTTTAATAATATCTCTGTAGAGGCTTCTTAGTCTCGAGTAGGTATATTGTATTATTAGACAGGCTCCCCCCCGTCCTTTCCTCCACAGTGCTTTGCTAACCTTCTAAACTACACGCCACTTGTTTTCCTTTAGCACACTACCTAAAGCACTATACCCCCTACTCAGACAGATCACATAGAGATTGTTATAGAGTGCTGCTCTAATATTAGTGTAAATAATAACTGATCTATGCAACAGTAAATAGTTCACAACACATCTCTCGGATCTTAACCCATTGTACAGGTCCCTGAACTCTATCACTGTAGTGGTTACCTCTATTTGCTCACACACCACACCTATTTACCGTTCCTTATACTCACCTTACCTCAAAATCTGACCATCTAAAACCTCACTGCTTTCTAGTTACAACTAACAAGACTTCCCTCCCCAACAAGAGGATTATCTTTTGTCCATCCTCTCATAAAAGTGTCAAGTTGGGCTGAAGAATACGGTTAATACAATATACAGTCTAAAGATCGCCTATCTCCTCTCTACCAGCTGTGACTGTAAATATCATAAAAAACTCTTATGCTGTCATAAACCATTTTGCCTCCTCCTACAACTGATTACACATACACAATAAAAGGAGTAGGTGGAAACGGAGAACATCAAGATACCTGAAGGAGCCTGCACCACTGAAATTCACAGGCAGTATACCACAAAAGTTCACAGCATAAACCCAGGGAGTCAGAACAGATCAATTTTAGAAGCTGAGGCCAACAAGAAGAGTCGCACAAACAATGGGAAGACAAAGAAACAATCCCAAATAAAAGAAAAAGCAGAGGCTTCAGAAAGAATGATAGATGAAATAGAAGCTAATCAACTAACAGATACTGAATTCAAAGCACTGGTAGTCACGAAGTTCAAAGAGCTCACGATGACCTACCAAAAACTACAGGGGAGCTATCATGACCTCACCACAAACTATATCAACATGAAAAAGGAAATAGAAACTATCAGCAAGGGACAAGAGGAAATGAAGAATACAATCTCTGAATTGAAGAACACAGTAGATAGTTTCAAAAGTAGGATAGAAGAGGCGGAGGATAGGATTAGCGAGCTGGAGGACAAAGTAGAAAGCATCTCACAGAAAGAGCAGGAAAATGAAAAGAAACTTAGAATGAATGAAGAGGGATTAAGAGAAATACAAGACAATATGAAACGTAATAATATCCGAATAATAGGGATACCAGAAGGAGAAGAAGAACAAGGAATAGAAAACATATTTGAAAGAGTAATGAGAGAAAATTTTCCTAATTTGGTGACAGAAAAAGTCACACAAATCCAGGAATCACAGAGAGTCCCAATCAAGAGGAACCCAAGGAGGCCCACTTCAAGACACACCATCATTAAAATGGCAAAATTCCAAGACAGAGAATCTTAAAGGCAGCAAGGGAGAAAAAAGAAGTAACATACAAGGGAGCTCCAATAAGGCTAGCTACTGACTTCTCAATGGAAACACTCCAAGCAAGAAGAGAATGGCAAGAAATATTCCAAGTAATGAGAACCAGAGGCCTACAACCAAGGCTACTTTACCCAGCAAGTCTCTCAATCAGGATAGAAGGCCAAATAAAGAGCTTCCAAGACAAAAGAAGTCTAAAAGAATATGTCTCCACCAAACCAGTCCTACAAGAAATAGTAAAAGGACTACTTTAAGGAAAGGAAGGAAAAGTGAGAGACAGAGAAAACACAGGAACAAAAAGGCAATGAATAAGTACCTATCAATAATAACCTTAAACGTAAATGGATTAAATGGTCCAATCAAAAGACACAGAATAGCTGAATGGATAAGAAAGCATGACCCTCACATATGTTGCCTACAAGAGACCCACCTCAGGACAAAGGACCATCACAGACTAAAAGTGAAAGGCTGGAAACCAATTTACCAAGCAAATGGACAAGAAAAAAGAGCTGGGGTAGCAATTCTCATATCAGACAAAATAGACTTCAAAAAGAGGACCATAAAGAGAGACCCAGAAGGTCACTTCATAATACTCAAGGGAAGAATCCACCAAGAAGATATTAATATCGTAAATATATATGCAGCAAACATACAGGCACCCAAATATATCAAGAAAATCTTAGAGGACTTCAAGAATGATATTGACAGCAACACAATTATAGTAGGGGATTTGAACACCCCACTATCAAAAATGGACAGATCTTCCAAACAAATTATCAACAAAGCTATTGAGGCATTAAACAACACCCTAGATGAAATGGACTTAACTGATATATAGAGAGCCCTTCATCCCAAAGAAGCTAAATACACATTCTTTTCAAATGCACATGGAACATTTTCAAAAATCGACCACATGATAGGTCACAAAACAAGCCTCAACAAAGTCAAGAAAATTGAAATCATACAAAGCATTTTCTCTGACCACAAGGGACTGAAATTGGAAACCAACCCTAGAGGAAAAAACCCAAAGCACCCAAAAACATGGAGACTGAATGGTATGCTACTAAACAATGAATGGGTCAAGAATGAAATTAGGGAAGAAATCAAAACGTTTCTGGAAACAAATGAAAACGATCTCACAACA